TAAAAAACAGAGTGTTGTCTCCCGATCTAGTGCTGAAGCTGAATACAGGTCAATGGCTAACGGAGTGGCTGAAATTCTATGGCTGAAATCACTACTTGAGAAGTTGGGTATTGAGTATGAGAAGCCCCTAATGTTGTATTGTTATAATCAAGCGGCTATTAATATAGTGCACAATCCGATGCAGCATGACAGAACTAAACATATTGAAGTTGATCGACATTTTGTACGAGAGAGGGTCTCATCACAAGAAGTGTGTCTCCYGTACATCACATCCAACATGCAGCTAACAGATATCCTCATCAAAGTTGTACCAAGGAAGAAGTTAGAGGCGGATCTATCCAAGTTGGGAATGATAAACATTTATTCCCAACTTGAGGAGGAGTGTAGAGAACACTGATGTGGGCCCCACAGCTATGATCCCACTGTGTTCGTGGGGTAGAATGTGTTCTATTCATCCTAGGGTTAGCTGGTGGTCAGTCGGTTATTTCAGTTATATTTTTGTTCTATTTGTTATGTAAATACTAAGGGCAGATCTGTCATTTCCATGTAATGAGCATAACCTATAAATACTAAATAGAAGTGGTGGCGGCAGAACATTCAGATTCTGTCCCTCCTTTCAACCCTTTGTGTTCTAYAGTTCTCTTTTCTCTTCCTCTTCTCTTCTCTACTTTTTCCTTCTAATTTCGAACCTGAAATCTATTAGGGTTCAAGGCTGATAGCAGTCTTGAACTTCTACAACCCCAATATCCTCCAACCCCTTTTACTACATATTTTTTCTTCCCCAAACCTTACAAACAAAAACAAAACTCACTGCCAAAGAACAATAAACTACAAAGCTCAAAAAATCCCCCCTTAAGATCCCACACCAGCACCAACCCTAACAACTTTCACTATTCAATCCTCCCCCTTAAAGCTTTTATTCATTCAAAGGATATCTCTCTTCCAATTCCTGGAACATTTTTCTCGCAAATCCTTCCTATCCTATAAAGGATAACCCCAATATGTTGGGTGAACTATGTCCATTGCCACTCCAAATATTGGGTTAGCATTTAGACATCGGCAGTTTACAGCCAACGCATCTGACAAACCAGAAAATTACCAATAAAAGAAAAAGGTTGGACTGTCTAGAACACCTTTTGTGAATAAAAAATTACCTTAAACCAGCTGCAGCACTACGTATGCTAAGTGCCTTGCCAATTTCATCACTTAAGTCAGCATTTCCATCAGCACTAACCCCCTAAAAACAAAAAACAAAAGAAAAATATACAAGGATCAAGATTCTTCAGGTACTCCAAAATGAAAAAGGCCAATGGTTTCTCAAGAATTTAAGAAACAAGGTCCATGTACTATTCCTAATATTTGATGTGGCAAGATGCATTTAGTAAGCGGAAAAGCAAAATATAGACCCTACATTTAGGACAGATCTGCAAGAAAATAGATAAATACCACTTTTCCCATATCATTAATGTGATTCATATATGTCAATTGGTTATCAATCCGTTTGGATTACAAAGACAACCACTAAACCTGGAAGCAGTCAACAACAAAGGTAGAGACAACAATTTAACACTTGATGGGAAAGCGAATGATACCAGACATTCTCCATAGAAACCTTTACCAAGACGAACTTTGAAAGTTTTATCTAACAACTTATTTGCTGCATCCTGTCGGGAGGAAATATAAGACTTTCCCTTTGCAATTAGAGACATCGAATCGATCTCTAGCAACTGCTAAGAAAGAAAGTTTGCACCAAGTTGAAGAATGAAGATATTCAGATTCCAAATTTGGAACAAGAGATAAATGCTGACAAAAAAACACAATTATATACATGAGAGTTTCTATTTATCCTATTTCTTTTTTTGGCAATAACATGTAATTTCTAATACATGAAATGGCAAATGATGTAGCCAGAAGTATCCAAAATATGATAGTTATTGTTGGACGTGATTTGATTAGCCATGCGTATGGTAAAATAATTCTAATTTATTTTTTTGGTAAGTAATCAAGAAAAATTGTTAATAATGAAGAGTGTATAAAAAGACCCACAGTCCAAAGCTTTACAGCAAAACCAACCTCTACACCCAAAGCATGAGACTGACCTATGAAGTAAATCTCTTTGATTTAGACCTTGAACACTTTAAAAATTAAGAGTCCAGTCCATTAAGAGACGACAAACATCAGCACAAAGACCCACTAAAGGCCTCCGAAAGTTTTAAAGCTCTTCTACTTTTTATCCTTCCAAACAGCCCAACATATGGCATGTAGAACCATAGACTAGAAAATAGCAACCCAAAATCCAACCGAGCCATAAGGCCATGTCATAATTGCTTCCAACAATGTAGAATCTGATAGAGAAAGCAAGAGACTTCTCAAAGGAGGTCACTGGACAAAAGAATAAACAAATAATACACTGAACCCCCATAAAATCTCTACATATAGCTCATCCACATACTCCTCTTATTCAAGTTGTTTATGGTTAGGTCTTTGTCAAGAAAAAACAACCACATAAAGGCTTCCAGACAATGAGACAATCCTCTCCCCCAAATACAATTGGAATCAGATGTTTCAGTAGTACCTCTGTCAAGAGCAATATAAAAAGACCAAACTTCAATTTTCAAATTAGGCTCCTCCCTCCACCAGAGTTGTTCCTCAAATCTGGATATATAAGAACTTGCTCAAGCTTCTAAAGGAGAATGTATTCTGTGATTTCTCCTTTTAACGAAGGTCCTCCAAAAAGATGATTTCAAGTAACTATGCTCCCTAAACTGGTGAAGAAATCAAGAAATCTGAGATGTTCCTTCCAACTTAGGTGGAGACCATACAAAGCCTTACATGAGGAGAGTAGAGCTACTAAAATGACTCTACATCTTTCACAAATATAAACATGGAGCTATCACCCAACTCTAGATTCAGTCAAGGGGTTTATTTACCATAAATGTTCATTATGCTTTTCCAGTGGCTTAGGCTTACACCATAGGGAAGTGACATCCTAGATGCCCAACCATTAGTAGATTCCTGTATTCAATAGCTATTGCTCTTTCCCAGAGAATCAATTCCTCCCAAGGAATCTTTAGATCCATTTCCTCAGGAGGGCCTTGTCCATAGTATCCATTCTACAGAAACCAAGCCCATCTAACTACATTGGCTGACAAACCTAATTCCATTTGACCAGTTGTATTAGAAAGGAAGAGGGTAAATGTTGCATATGTTGGAACTTCAGTATAAGAAAACAAAATGGGTTCTCTAAGCCTGTGAAAAAGAATGGATGGGATTACAAGTTTGAAAAGTATGTTAAGTTAGTAGGTGAGTTGTTAGGACGTTAGTTTCTTGCTATGGAAAGTTCCATGTATTTATTGGGGTGTATGTTCTATTTAAAAGAGTACACAGACACTCCGGCTATATTGGATAGTCAAAGTCAAAGTGTATATGGATTTTTTTTGGTATAAAGTGCATGTGGAAGGTTTAGCCAGAAGATCAATAAAAAAAGAGAATAAGAGAAAAAAATCTGCATACAATGATCGATGTCAAGACAGACGTCAAATTCATTCAATGTAATCATCAATCCTAAAGGAGTAAAGGGTAATACTATTACTCTATCTAATGTGTCATTAACCATAAAGTAATAATTCATTCGAACAACTACAATTGGCTAATCACGGGAAAACATGCTCAAGTGGCTGAACCTGATCAAACAGATAAGGATTGGTGATGCAATTCAATTTTGACCGCCATTCATCAAGTCCTATGTTAAACGCTTTAATGTCCAGTAGGCTCCAACTGCGAAGATCTCCATCCTCCATATACTTCAGGACCATCTCCAAACGATCTCTAATTTCATGGTTCACTAGGTTCTTGACCTCTCCCTGTTTCAAACAAAGAAAGCCTCATTAGCCTAAGAGCCTTTAATTTTAAGTTTTTAACCACCCCAAAAGAAAATCAATGCCTTGTTGAATTTGAATGGAATAAATCATTTCCACTTACACATGGAAGTTTCTTCTCTGCGAGTTTAGTAGAGAAGTAATTATACACACTAGTAGAGCTACTCTTCTCAACATCAATATTAAACGTCAGGTTCTCTGGAGAATCTTCAGCTGGAGGAATCTTGGGAAGTGAAGATTTACGGTGATCAAACACTATCACCCTAAATGAAGCAACAATAATCGAATAAGCCAAACCACATTCCATACATATTATTCCATCAAAATCAGAAGCTTATCTAAAGGAAATTTCAAATAGATCAAACCCAATAAGAGGGAAATGCAAAATAAGCTCACCGGTTCATAAATTGAGAAAGCTTGAGAGCAAATCCTTTGGGTCCAACAAAATCGAGGAGATAACAAATCTCAAGACCCTCGACAAGGAAATCATCAACCCTGAGAGGCTCGACGGATGAGAAAGGCAAGATGAGGCAAGGGAGGTTGAGACGAGAATGATAGAGATGGGCGAAGAGAGCCGAGAAAGCACCAGAGAAGGAGGGGTAGTTGTATAGAACGAGATTGGGGATCTTCTCTTCAGAAGCTCTTGACAGAGCATCCAGTGCCGCCTGTGAACGAAAAGGTCGAGTTCCAAAAAATAGAGCTGCAGGAATGCTCTTCCATTGTCGGGAAACGAGAGACAAAACCATGAAATGATGATTAGACGAAAAACGTTCTCACTGTAGGAGTACCAACATCTCCTCAGCTTCACTATTGTTATAGAGCTCAATATTCAGCAAATTCTTCCTTTTAATAAAAACCAAATCGTTTGCTTCAGGGTTCAAATTCCGTAATATGATGGAAATTGGGACTTGGGAGTGATACGACCACTGATTCCTGTTCACGAACAGGAATTGAACGACGGAAACAGTCTTCTTCCGTCAAGAAGACTATTGTATAAAATCACGGCGAGTCCACACGAGAAAGGGAACCGGTTGGCATAGTGCTCCTGAAAACGACGGAAACAGTCTTCTTCCTCCACTCCTGCGATATTTGCTTTCACCCGGATTGGCGGGAAATGCAACTTTTATGAACAAAGCGGTATTCGAATGTCGAGACTCGAGAGTGAAAGCCCTAGAACTCTTGCCATCATAGAAACATCCACCAAGCTTTAGTAGTTAATTCATTACCAAAGTAGTTAATCTGAGTCGTATTTCTATACATATTTTAGTTCTTTTTTTTCATTTTTCAACTATCACCAATTGTGTTTATTTGTCWTACGTTTCCAAAACGTATTTGAAATACTTTAGTTTGATCCAAACAAATTTCACATTACYAGACAATAATCAATCCCATACATGCATATCGATTTTTCTACCTTAAGCGACTCCAACATCTATTTCAGCAAATTTCTTTTGATTGATTCTATTTGGGAAGAATGCAAATGTCATTTCAGTGTTTGGGAAGAATGCACTTAAATAGTACATATCTGTAAATAAAATGAGAGCAAACTTTACGTGAAAAAAGAAAATAAAAGATGTTAAATTTTGCGGTTAAAAAGGTATATTTTAATCTCAGGATTTGTATTTAATCAATGTTAAATTTTGCGGTTAAAAATTTATTTGCAAAAATATAAATTAATCAATGTAAAATTAAACCAATCTTGCATTTGCATAGACCATAAAGCACTTTTATTTATAAAGAAGATGGAACAAAAAAACTTACAACCCATGAGGAGTAGTTACACTCTATGCCCAAGATGATGCCACATTGATATCACATCATTGCATTATTGGCAGCAATATGCTGTTTTTTAAGAAAATATTGAATTTGACATTTATTCAAACCACATTTTCCCGATTTCTAATGTGTGGTTTAGAACAATGTTTTTTTTATTAACAACAATACAAATAAGAGGTTATCTTCTGAAACACTGATTTTTCTGTTGTGCCGATTTCTAAGAAAACAAAACCGATGCCAAACACTGCCTATGTCTCTACCTARGCTATCTCTAGCCACTGCCCCTATCGCACTCCTACCCTCATTTCTCTTCGAAGCGGCAAAATTAATTTCAATCACACCATCCTCTTGTGGATTCCATCTTTTGTACTTTATTCCTTCCATGTTTTTCATTTCGGATTACCTCCTTAACATTATATCCAATGTAATCTCTATGCCATGTTTTCACCATTTCTTTAATAATAGGAGTAGGAAGACCCTTATTTTTCAAATACCTTCCTATTCCTATTTTTCCATATGTAGCATAGTATTACATTGAGACCTTCAAAAAGAAGTTCATTATCTCTTGACATGGGTATGTCTCTTATCTTGGACCACCATGCTGTTATATTTCCCCCATGTTGCGGTATGACTTCTCTTATATCATCCTCCCTTAATTTCAATCATAGCTGCTTGAACTCATTCCCCATGTATGAAGTCTCTCTTTTGATAGCAGTTTTTTATTTAACAAAAGATATAGAAAATAAGTTATCTTAGGAGRTACTTCATTTTACCAAGTTTTCATTCCTTCTTGTATGGTTAGTTTCTAAGTTGGATTCTCTTTCCATATTATAGGCCGATTTTATTGTATACTAGTGGGGACCCGTGCAATGCACGGGATTTATTATGCCAAAGATAAATAATAGAAATGTTCATTTACTAAAATACCTCTTATTGTTTCATTGATTTACTAAAATATATCCTATAGTTAGCATTTTACTAAAACACCACTTATAATTTGCAATGGATTTWATCAATTTTCCATTGGATGATAGTGGAAAATGACAGTGTTGACCCTAATGTTCATTTAAATAATTTAATCAAAAGAAAATAAAAAGAAAATTATCATTTTTGCCCTTAATAAAACACGGACAACCACTCTCTTGACTATATTTGGTCAATTTTGTTTTTCTATATAAAAAAGTGTTAAGGGTATTTTTGGAATAAAAACCAAATATATGGGATGTTTTAGTAAAATGAAAACTATAAGGTAGGTTTAAGTAAATATATAAAACTATAAGGTGTGTTCTAGAAATGGCCCTAATAGAAACACATAAGAGTATACAATTGATTTATATTTTCAACTTTTTAAATAATAATAATTATTCATAGTTTATATGCTACTTTTAATAAATCTTTATAATACAAAAATAAAAATAATTAATTTCAGATAGGTTTATTCACCAAATTGATGAAACTRATTGATCCGAGTTGGTCAGTTTTCTAGTATTTTAGGTTGGTTTTGGTTTAAAAATTTTCCAATTCAACCAAGTTGGATTAGTTTCACTTTGCCCATTTATAAACCAACCAAAATTGAATGACCTAACCATGGATATATATTAATATTTTATATTGTAAATATAATTTTTAATATGAAAAAAGTGGGAAATTTTCCATATTTCTAAGTCTAAAATGTTTTATATCCTAAATCTAATGTTTAAATGTATTTTTCTAAATTTACCCAGTCTTTAGCCTACCTCTTGCACTCGGCTTTCCTTTGTTTCTCAAGGTGACTCCTGTGTTACTAAAATACCCTTATAATTTCATGGATTTACTAAAAATCTATCATATAGTTAGCATTTTACTAAAACACCACTTATAATTTGCAACGAATTTAATCAATCTTCCATTAGATGATAGTGGAAAATGACAATGTTGACCTTAGTGTTCATTTCTTTTTATTTAATCAAAAGAAAATAAAAATAAAAAATATAATTTTTCCCTTAATAAGACACAAGCAACCACTCTATTGGCTATATTTAGCCAATTTTGTTTTTTGTATAAAAAAGTGTTAAGGGTATTTTTTGGAATAAAAATTCATGGGTCTAATGGCAAAATAAACAGTCCTTAATGAAATGTTCATTAAGTAAATAAATTGTAAAATATATGGGATATTTTAGTAAAATGAAAACTATAAGGTAGATTTAAATAAATATGTAAAACTATAAGGTGTGCTCTAGTAAATGACCCTAATAGATACACATAAGAGTATACAATTGTTTTATATTTTTAATTTTTTAAATAATTAATAATTATTCATATTTTATATACTAYTTTTAATGTTTTTTATAATAGAAAAATAGCAATAATTAATTTCAGTTAAGTTTATCCATCAAACTTTTGAAACCGACCAACCCGATCAACTCAACCCGAGTTGGTCATTTTTCTAGTATTTGATGTCAGCTTTGGTTAAAAAACTTCCCAATTTGATTAAGTTGGATTAGTTTCACTTTGTCCATTTGTAAACCGATCAAAATTGAATGATATAACTATGGATATAAATTAATATTTTACATTTTAAATGTAATTTGTAATATAAAAAGGTGAGAAATTTCTCATATTTCTTAGTCCAAAATGTTTCATTTCGTAAATCTAATTTTTTATTTTATTTTTTAATAATTGTTGTGAGTGAGGTGATTAGGCTATGCATGGGAGTCTCCGTGAAGGAAGTTAAAGGTTAAGCAAATGAGGTGATATAATGATTATCTCATTATGAATTGGACCCCTATTTATAGGGAGGGATCCCGAGGTCCTAAAAGGAAGGAGCCAAAAGTGTTTGGTTCTCATTAGAAAAGGAAATCTTGGATTTGGTGTCAGTTATTAGGGAGCACTGCTAGGGTTTTGCCACGTGTCTTATGAGATATTTCAAGGACGAACTTTCATTTTGTTTGAGGATTCTCATAATACACATGTGCTACCTCATTTCGACCCCTTTAAAAAGGCATGACATGGGTGATGTCACTATTTAGCTTGCACACCCTTATTAATGGGGTGTCCTGTCACGCGCATTATACAACGATGCATGTGTTTCTATTATTTGTTTATGACTTGCGATGAGTCTGCGCTCGTCACGGTTCTGTGATGACTTTAAACTCATCGCAAGTTCGGAGCTCATTGCRGTTTTGCGATGGATTTAAATTCATTGCAAGTCCGTGCAGGTCCAAAATTCATCACAACTTGTTTCGTCTATGAGTTCATCACAGATGTGTGATGAGTTATAAACTCATCGCAGATGTGCGATGCGTTATGGACTCATTACAAGCATTTGCATAGTATTAGTTTGACACCTCCTCCGTTCTGATGGTCTAAGTGGCCACCACCTACAATTGCATTGTAATTTTTAAAATTAAATTAAATTTTTAAGTTTAAATATTTTGAACCAACTGACCTTTTGTGAAAACCGACCCAAACCGATACAACTTGAGTGGGTCGGTTTTCACAAAAGGTCARTCGGCTTCAGCTGACCAACTCCCCAACCTGACCAGGTCAATTTGGTTGGCCAAATAGCCTACAGCCAGTTCRAACCAACTCATGAACACTTATAATTTTAGCTAAATTAATAGTCTTATCTCCGATAAATAACAATAGTTTAATCTACAATATTTATTAAAAATTTATAGCAAAAACACACAATTATTGAAAATATATTGACAATAAAAAAATACAATAATTACAAATATACAATAAGTACTAAAAATATATTAACATAGTCAACAAATAGAATAATCTTAAATAATAGTTTAATCTCTAATAAATATGAATTAATCAATAAGTTATAACAAGAATACAATAAATACAATAAGTACAATAAATTATATTTAAAAAATTCAATAATAGTAGTTTAATTTTCAATAATAATTGAAAGTTTTCTGTTAAATAAAAAAAATTATACATAATCATTGAAAAATACATTTTTCACAAAAAAACAATAAATAATTACTAAAATACAAGTCAGGCTTCAGGCTCAGGCTCAGGCCTGAAAAGTTTATGTTAATAAAGAGCAAAAGCCTGGCCCGACCCATGAACAGGTCTAGCCTCAGTCATGCTGTGCTGTGCCAAGTACTGTGACTGCACAGCCCTAAAACCCAGACCTAGCATAACCCGCATTTTATCGTACCGTGCTCGGCCTGGCCACAGGCGGCATGGCCGGATTTACAGCTCTATCGCGGGTTACTTGAACCACAGTCATTTATTTTGTTGTACATTTATACAAATACTAGTGGTGCTAAGGCTAATTAACTAATTATAAAACAATCTAATCCACCATACSAGTTCCAAGTTATTACATGACACAGATAACATAGCGGAAGAGGATGCCAAAGGTCATTGTTGTCGTGCCTCGTGTGGAAAATTCATTCTTTCCCTTGGGCAGAAAAAKTAGTACCAAAGATGCACTTCAGCTTAAATTAATAATCATTTTCTAGCCCTCTTATTCACAAAGTTTTATGACCATGGAATATGAAACCAATGCACTTCAAAAGTTATTGCGATTTATGAGACATCCTCATACGAATAGTTAAATTTTGAAGCAATTTGAAACGCAAAGGAAAGAAATACAACCATGTAGATCATGATGGTAAATGTCAATTCAAAATTCTTAAACAAAAGAAAAAAAATACTTGTCAACTTAATAAACTCTTAAAGCCTATTTGTTTGCGCTTTCAAAATAGAGCTTTTCATGTCCCAGAATAGCTACCAAAACAAAAGAATACCCGACTCCTCTCGCTAAATTTTTAACTAATCATCCAACTTGCTGGTATCCTCGGCAATGAGGACCTTTGTAGGCTTGGCCAATAGATCTGTGTACTCCTGGAACGGTGATTTTGTGAAGCGAGTCTCCCTCCAGAAATCAGGTGTCAGGAACCCGTAGGTCTTCAGGAGACAATCAAATGTTGCCTGCAATTAAAAAAAAAACAAAGGGCATAGTGGCATTGGTAGCATAAGTGGATTGTGGATACAATATCATACATAATACGTAGAATTCTACAAAAGCACCTAATTAGCCAACTGGAAAGAAGGTATTATAAAGATTATATAACATCTTAAAGAGTAAATCACATAGCATCATTGCATGAAACATACAAGAGAATTTCTTAACCTTCACAATCTGGCTTCAAATGAAWGAAAGCCATGAAAATGGAATTATGGAACTGAATATTCCAATATAAAGATAGGAGCTCTGGTGACACTCACTGTCTACTCCAACACAAACCATGTGAATGCCTTCACCTTCACAGGTAATCCCATTTTGCCACATTATAGGAAACCCTTTTACATGGATATAAAAACCCTTATATCATAAACCATCATTTATGCTATGACCATGTAGGAAAAGTAAGAATACAAAAATCATAAACACTGAATACTGCCCCMCTCTTAACCAACCAACCACTCATATACACACCATCCCTAAAATATGGGATGTGGTAGATTAGCATATGCCCGGATCCAGCACATCCGCACATGCCCTAAATCCAGTCACCAAACTTGGCCATAATTCTTAATGAACCAGATATGACAGATATTTCATAAAGACATTCCACCATGATTATGAAAGATAAATTTCCATTTCCACGTGGCCTATGTTTCTACTGTCAGTGTCCTTTCAGCCTTTGCATTTTTGCAAGTGACTATCCAGTATCATGAGACATGACCTTCAGTCTCAACCTATTAACTTTCGTAATCACCCAAGGTTTTTAGTCAGCAAGGATAAGATATTTAAAAGACAGATCAACAACATTCTACCTGCTTTACCATCTACGAAGATCCATATCAATGATATTCTAAACGGCAACCAGGATTTGCAACAAATCCCACCAATTGAAGTGATACGATAGAACATGCGGAGTCAATACAAAGTTTCAAATGCAAAAATGCAACCAATTTAGGAATGGAATCACCAACAGCCTGAAGGAATCTAGATAAATTCTTTCTAGCTATGATATGTTAGACTACCAAACACTTCTTAAGAATACCTTTCTAGTTTGAAGGAAATATGTTCACAACAAACAACTACAAGAAGAATGTCAATGTATACATGCAATATGTGCTAATCAACTTTAAATCTTAAACATTACCAAAAAATAATTGCTCTTTGCTTACACAACAGTTCAAATATTATATAGTAAAAACTGAAAAAAAAGATCTCGAGTTCTATAAACTTGATATCAATAATAACAATAAGATTTGTTATGTTACAACCAACTAATACTACCATATAATTAATACATAATAATAACGAGAACCAGAAAAGAGAACGACAACTAAATTTGATGGATTATGTATAAAAATTTCTTCTGATGGAATGAATTGTATAACACCTAAAAACAAGTGGAATTGAAGGATTAAACAGAAGACAACTTTCTTTTCTAATCAGTGGTAGAATTACTATGAATGGTCCAAGCATTTGTAATCCTACAGTCATGTGGATACTGAAACTTTCTTTTTGTAATGCTGATGAAGGAAGAAGGCAGATGGCACCCAAAAAAACCATTACACCAGCAACATAACTAAATGATACACTTCGACTAGACTTGCCTCACCCATATGACATTCAATACACAACTTTATTTTCACATTCCAAGCTATGAAGGGCAATAAATCCTGCAAGTTCAAATATAAACAGATATACTACCATCCTTGGTCCCTGTACGGAAAGCCCAAGAAATTTTAAATAGATCATGTGATCACAAAATAAATTACTCGAAACAACTCCAAACCTCAGCGAATAAAATGATCAGCAGAATTTATACAAACCAACGTTTTCTTTAAAAGCTGAAAGAATCAGATGACAAACTGAACGAGTAAAAACAATTACCCTTAACGAAATTTGAAAAGCATAAGAAATCAAATCTAAACACACTGACAATAACTAGCAAATTCGCATAAAATTCCATATGTATCATTTGCATTCACCACGTTTGCAATCGAAAAATACTCAATCATAACCTCATTTATCTACTCATTATCTTCTCTGTATTACTTTTTTTACAAGTATTATCTTCTCTGTATTATTTAGAAATCCCTATTGGTTTTATCAATAATATCGAAGTTATATTTACGGGTTCCAACAATATTCAAGCTCAATCAACAAGAATCGAAACCATAAAATCGGAAACAAATTGAATATAACTGTTAAAATACGAACCTTGACGAAATTGCCTAGTGTTTTTGTGGATCCACGAGAAGATGTGAAGACATCTTCAATACCGGCAAACTGCAGAACTTTCTTTGGAACCCTAGCAGCAACGATTCCAGCACCACGAGGAGCTGGTACCATCCGCACTGTAACAGAACCACATTTACCAGTAACCTTGCACGGAACAGTGTGAGGCTTCCCGATCTTGTTACCCCAGTAACCCCTCCTAACCGGAATCACCGACAGCTTTGCAAGGATAATGGCACCACGAATAGCAGTGGCAACTTCTTTGCTGCATTTCACGCCGAGCCCGACGTGGCCATTACCGTCACCGACGACTACGAAGGCCTTGAATCGAGTTCTCTGACCAGCACGGGTCTGTTTCTGGACCGGCATGATCTTCATGACTTCATCCTTCAGACTAGGCAACAGTGTTTCAATAATCTGGTGCTCCTTCACAGGTAGCGAGTGAAGGTAGATTTGCTCCAAGCTTCTGATCTTACCTTCCTTAACAAGGCGTCCAAGCTTAGTTACAGGAACCCATTTCTCTTCCTCATCACGACGGCCACCGCCGCGACGCCCACCACCTCGACCACCACGGCCGCGATCTCCACGGCCACCACGGCCACCACGGCCGAAGCCCCTGCCAAAGCCACCTCTCTCCCCACCTCTTTCAGCCATGTTGCTTCAGTTGAGGTTTGATTGCGGTAAGAGATCGAAAGAGGAATCGAGGAAAACCCAAAACGATAGGGTTTATAAATCTAGGGTTGGGTTGAGGTATGACTGGTTGGGGTGGAACAACTGAGGAAAACCTAAAAAGATAGGGTTTATAAATCTAGGGTTTTGTTGAAGAAATGATTCGACCGAACCGGCCAACCCAAGCTCTCTCGCAGGTTGGGCTTGAATTTCGGGCTTTTGTTCTCTGGAATACTGGAACGAGCTTGCTTTTATAAACTGGGTACGAAGCTGCTATCAATAGAAGGCTCCCAACCCTATCCCAGCACTCCATTTAAGCCGCACGTTGGGAACATCTATTGTCATTCATGAAGAAATATTTTCAATGTGCGACTGTAATGATTTGTTGGAACAGTGTTGTTAGCGTTTGTTGGTAATAGATCCCTACCCAATTTTTRAAACCAAGACCGTTCCAGATGACCAGCCTCTCTGGCCCGTGCTTCACCTCATTTCTTGTTGGGCTTATGAATAGCCTCTCTGGGCCGATCCAGGCCCATGTTTTAAATTCCTACTCATACGTGGGTCGTATTACATTTGTAAATTTACGTTCAGTGAAGAAATCTAGACCACAAAGTTAGGGCTGCAACCTGTATCTGTTTAGCACAAATCCAATCCCCCCCAAAAAAGGTATATTTCTTAAACTATTCTTATGATTTAGTTAATTGACTAAGTATACCCTTAATTGTTGACTATTGATGAAATATTGATGGAAGGGTTTAAAAGTTTGTTTTGCCCTTAATTTGTTCCTGGTCTTTGCCACTCAGGCTCAATTTGGAAGCAATACAAATGCAAATATGTACAGCGCAAATACATACAAAATAATACAAAATATAAGGTTTTGTACTCTACATATTTACATTTGTATCCTTCCAAAGCCTCAGGTCCAAATCTAGTCACCTCTGCTCAGCCACTACATCGACATTGAGAAGGTACATAGCGTCATAGCAAATCAAAAAAGCTTACAAACCTGACAATTTCTCTCTCTCTCTTTCTCTCTCTCTCCCTCTCCTGGCAGTCTAGAACTGACCAAAAGCTCGCAAACCTCTTAGATCCCTCGACCTAGAACTACGAGATCTTCATTCATGAACCCTTCAAGCAACTACAACACTAGCAGCAATTACACATCGGTTCTAGCTACAAAGCTTCATTGACAACTTTGATTTCTAGTAGACCTTCCCTCTTAGGCCTTCGACATTCCAATCGAACCACTGCAACTCGGCGAACTTTCACAGAGCTCCACTATCACAGAGAGCACATCCAAGCATTTCYTGTTGCCTATTTCAACAAATGGACAGATGGAGCTCTACTGCCTTGGAACAAAACACGTCTGAGCACACACATGAGTTTGAGATCGTAAAGGGGTGGTCACAACGGTGTGCAGTTCCGACCAATCAAAAATAAGAAAGGAGATTTTGGGTTGTGGTGTGTAGACTAGAAAGGGGGTCTAGATTATGGTCTGGGTTGCGATGTGCAGATTAGGGTTAGCTTTGAGTTTTACCAACCTAAGTTACCTAACTAAGAGGTGTAAATCAGGCCATGTCAAGCTGACACAACACGACTTAGTGGGCTACGCGTGCTTTGGAGGGTCGTGCCATGCCAACCCATTGTCCGTGCTGGGTTGTGCTTGTCTCTTATAGGATATTTCAAAGGTCAAGCCTGGCACGAGCCCATACGGGCCATGCCAACCCATTATCCGTGCCATGCCATGCCACATGCCTAGTTTGGGTAGACTATGGGCCGAGCTGGGCCAATCTTTTTTTTTTGACATTTCTATTATTATTTTTTTCATTTTTGCTAAGTGATATAGACTTTGGGAAAATAAAAAGGGTAATTTTCTTAAACTACCCATATTGTTTAGTTAATTGACAAATTGTACCCTTACTGTTTAACTATTGTCTTAAACCACCCCTACGATTTCTGACAATTGCCATTGCCGTTAAATCGTAACATAATGGATGAAATGTCCCTTTTGCCATTAAGTCCCTCGATCCCATTTTCCTTCTCCCCTCATTCTCTCTCTATCCCTCCTCTTGCATTGTCACTGCGGCTGCAACTCGTTGTGACAATATCATCGACAGCAGCCCACTTTTGGTAATACGGATGGCACAAAGAGATGAATTATAGGGTTCCCGAGTGGTTATACCAACCTACAAGAATTCAACTAGAGGTGAATTACAAGGTCCCTTTTTTTTGGTACAAYCAAGTAAGAAAATATGTATTAACTAGTCTTAGAAATACAAACAACACAAGTTAAGGTCTACTTAAGTCTTGGTTGGCCATATATTGGATCCACTCAGGGGGTCATGGACAAACAACCAAGATTCTTTTAAACCTTTTTTAGCTAGCATATGTGTAACATTGTTACAGAACCTATTTACATGCCCAAAAGAGGTAGATAAGTCTTCAGTAAGTAAGCTGATATCCATGCACAAAACCAAGACCAAAGTTTCCTGTATTCAAAGCTCACACCAGAGTTAGGCAATCAGATTCCACTATGATGACTTCTTCCTTGAGCATACTCAAAATTTCTAAGCTATTGAGAATTGCCATTGCAGCTTGGATTGGGAGATGAGGTTGAGGATTTGCCAAAGACTGCCGCTATCACTATACCATCAGTTTTCCTCAGCACTGCATCAAAACCTGAACTACATGAACACAAAAAGCTTCCATCTACATTCAGCTTTAGTCTCCTTGCCTCTGGTGCTTTCCAAAAAGTGGTGCAAAGATTTCTATAGCTTGGTTGTTGAAGAGAAGAATCTCGCAATTCTGCTTGGGAAATCATCACTCTCTCTCCACATCCTGTATGTTATAGCAAGAGTGACTCTAGGTAAAGGATATGCATTTTCAAAAACTTTACAATTCCTAGAATTCCAGATATTCCACAATAACAAGAATGAGAAGGAAAGTAATTCATCCTTTCCGCCTCTGTCTTTCAAGCAAATATCCAACCAAACCGAGAGCCACTGATTAAAAGAAGTAAAAGATCTTCCCCTATAGCCCATATAATTAATATGACATTCGAACCAAGTTACTTTAGCATGCTCACATTCAAATAAACAATGTACAATGGATTCAGACTATTGAAGGCAGACTAGACAATTGCTATCATTAGAAAGCTTTCTTTTGTAGAGGTTTTCTTTTACAACTAAGGCATTTTGTGAACATTTCCAAATGAAATTTCTTATTTTTGGGTCTATTTTTGCTTTCCATATTTCAGCCCATTGTATCTTCCCTAGATCCCCTATATTGCCAAAGTCTGCTCCCCCAATTGATGGATTACTACAGTTTGAAAGTAAAGCATATCACCCAGTTTTTACAGTATAAATCCCCTTCGGGTGATAGGTCCACTTAAGCTTATCTTCCTAGTTACCCTAGCTAAATTTACACTTAGGATGTTTTTAGCAATAGCCTCTCCAAAATTTTCCTAAATCAGTCTAGTTTTGCAACTTCTTCCACTCTCATCCATCAAATCTTTTACCCAAACCAAATTTGGGTTACTTGGTCTAGGACCCATAATTCTAAATTATTCTATCTGATGTAACCAAGGGTCATCCTAAGTCCTAACTTTTGTTCTAGAGTTCATTGCCTAACATGCTCCTTTTTGGAGAACCTCTCTTGTTGCTACCATACTCTGCCAACCCCAAGAGCCCTTGGTAGGTAGGTTGTCAGTTAGGAAATTTCTCCTCTTTAAATATTTAACCTTGATAATCTTTACCCAGAGATTATCCTCATCATTGCATATTCTCTAGGCTTGCTTTGCTAGCAGAGCCAGATTGAATTTATAAGGATCTCTGAATCCTAACTCTCATGCAAACTTATTTTTACTGAGGACTTCCCAACTCACCCAATGAGTTTTCTTATGATCTTTTGATCCCCCCACCAAAATCTAGTTTGGATTCTTTTTAAATCATTACAAACCTCCTTTAGGAGTAGGAAACAAGACATGGTATAATTTGGAATGGCACTGGCAATAGCATTTAACAAAATTTCTTTTCCAGGTTGAGATAGTAAGGATTCATTCCACTTGGATAGTAATCTTCCAACCCTTTCAATCAGAAAGTTGAAGAGGGATGTTGTTATGAGTTATGACAGACCCACCTAAAGCACATTTTGGTTATGGATCGGTTTTCAATCCCCAAATGTGCCAACATAGTAAGCCTTCCTCAAGAGCTAGAGGTCCCACTAGGCACARATGAATCTTGATTCATTAACCCAATACCTTCTCTATTTGCTAAGTGATAGGTAGAGTGGACAGAGAACCGTCCATGGCTCCATGTCCATGCTTCTCAAATACCAAAGAAGTTTTGTCTTTCCATATCATGGTGGAGAACATTGATTCTATGGATTGCTTTAGCTATATCTACTGAGGAGAGAGAGAGAGTTAATCTCAGACCTATCCCGATCACCATTCTAACATCCATAAAGGTTTTTAACTTTATCAAACTCGCAATTCTGAGTCTTATCCATGGAAATTCTGAAATTAGGTAGGGAACTAACCCACGGATCCTTCCAATCCCATGACACTTTTTTCCAGAAGCTTCTGCCCACTGTTATACTTTTACACCCCATGCCCATTGGGAAGTAGGGTCTGCCAAGTGCCATCATCCTCATGCCTTGCTTTGCAAGCAACACCAAGTTCATATTCCTCATGTCTCTCAAGCCTTGACCCCTTTTTTAGGCTTGCATAAAAAAGTGCCTAAATATTAAAAAATAATTAACTAAGAGATTAAAAGTTAATAATGGATTAAAAAAATAATTAATTTGATTAAAAATTTGTATGCTAACTAAACTATTAACTAGAAATTAATTAATATAGTGAGTAAATTTTAATATAGTGGATTGAAAACAATTAAATGATTAAAAATGTAAAGTAAAACTATATAATTAATAAAGTAATTAAAAAATTATAACATTGTTGAAAATAATAAAATAATAAAATGATAAAATGGTACAAAATTAAAAATGATAAAAATTAATAAATTAAATAAAATATTAATGAACTCATAAAAATTAACAAAGTGATTAGATTTTAATAAAATGGATTAAATATTAAACAATTAAAATTTCATAAATTAATGATTAATTAAAAAATTAAATAAAAATTTATATAATGAATACAAGATTAAAAACTAAATAAAATATCAAGATAATACAAACTAGATAATAAAGCGATTAAATTGTATGAAAATGAATTAAAAATAATAAATTAATAAAGTGGTTGCAACATTAAACAAATGATCATAAATTAATAAATATAATAAAAATGTTAACAAAGGAGAAAATAATTAATATTCTGATTAAATAGTCATAAAATAAATTAAAAACAATTAAATTGTTAAAAATTAATAAACTAACTATTAATTCATAAAACATATAAAAACAATAAACTGAATAAAATATTAACAAAGTAGAAAACAAGTAACAAAGTGATTACATATCAATACCAGATTAATAATATTTAAATTATTAAGAAAATAATAAATCTAATAATCAAAATAGTGATTAAAAATTAATTAATATAATAAAATATTAATAAACTAGAATATAAATAATAAAGAGATCATTTTTTTATAAAATGTGTAAAAAGTAATTGAATGATTGAGAAACTAATCATCCAATAATTAATTAATAAAATTATCTAAAAATTAATTTAAAGAATAAAAGATTATTAAAATAAATAAAACATTAACAAACTAGAAAATAATTAACAAATTGAATAAAAAAAGTTGAAGTAAATGAGTGAAAAACTAAATGAAATATTAGTGCTTTGACATGCAGTGCAAATCTGAACTGGATACAAATTTTGCTCATAGTTCAATTCTACATTTATCTTTTTGCATTTTTTCTTTTTAGTATTTGGTGATGCGCACCTCTATTAACCCCCTCTCCAAAGTGGTGGTTGCAGGAATTGAATCCATATCTATACTGGAGCAAACCAGTTAATATATAATTGAGCCACCTTTCGGTTGACAATCTTTTTGCATTGCACCACATCTTTCATGGGAAGTGAGATCACATCATTTTACATCAAATCTAAAACATAAGTAAACATGAATTTACACTCAGGCAATTGTACGCCCCTGCATTTACACTAGTGCAAATGAAATCTACACTGCAAACAAAAGGGACTTGGTGAATGTTGGATTTTAATTTCATTAGAGATTAAATCTGATGGGTTTGATTGGTCAATTACATGAGAATTTTCACTTGCACACATGTTTTGAAAAATAGCATTTCTCTTAATAAAACTAGTTTTAACTTGTCCCACATTGGATAATTACATGTTTTGTTTTGGGTTTATTAATAAGAACTTATTTACACTCTTTAGAAATAGAAGAGGAGAGTATGGAGGCTTGTTACCACGCAATGTGTGTGCACATGTGTGCATGCGTGTGCGACGCAATGAAGCGCACTTTTCTTGCRAAGGGCGGCTTTGGCTTTTTGGTGCGATGCTGACTATTGATGTGATCAACGACCATGATTCGATCGGGTGTGATTAAGAGGCACAATTCAAAGTTAACAATCATTAACCGTTAACTACCTTTTAAACAGTCACAATGTTTGAAATTGTGCTTGTTCAAGGTACCTTTCCCTAAACCAGTACCTTACTCTTCTTCATAACTCTTCAAAAACTATTTAAAGAGCGTGAATTARGCATTTCATACACAATTTCAAAAATCACTTTCTCTCTCTCAATCCGGTCTGCTACAATCTCATAGAAGGTTTTTTCGGAGACTCTTCAACTTTGTTAATTGCAGATTCTCGCCTAAAGCTCTGTTGTATCCTATGAATATATTTTCTTGTAACYCAACAACAAACTCAATAAAACTAAGTGGGGGCAAATAACGTTCTAAAAACTGTCCTCAAACACGCCTCAGAGTAGGGGTGATCATGGGCTAGGCTTTGCACTTATGATAAGGGCTATAGCTTAAGCCCAGGCCCGACCCAGGATTCCAAGCCTAAAACATAAGCCCTAGCCTAGATCTATATGGGCCCGGGCCAAAACGGGCCTGATTCTGGGCCAATGTCACTCATATATAAAAGATTACATATCTATATATTAAATGACATAACATGCATATAAACTTATTTTATACATTATATAATATAAAATATTACATATAATATAAATTATACATGCTATGTTATAATATTTATATATAAATATATAATATAATATAAAATAACATGTATAATATGTAAACATTATACACGAAATGTGTAAGTTTAAATATATGCAGGCCAGGCCGGACTTGAAGTATTAAGCCCAAGCCCGACCCTAAAATTTGCAAGCCTGATGTAGGCCCAAGCCCAAGCTAAAATGATCACTCTTACCTCAGAGCTTCTCCTCCTCCAAGTTTAAGTGACCCCATTCTCCAAGCACGCTTGATCCTGACTAGCTGACGATCTACAAGTTGAAATTGTCACTCAGCATCCTTCCAAAATAGGAGGCACGGGATGGAACCAGCATAACCGCAGGCTCTCCGTGGTATGGTCAGCGGGTTTTACGTGCACCCTACTCTGCTCCTCCCCCCGCTCGATTCCCTTGTAATAATACCCCAAAAATAAAGAAAGGAAAAGAAAAGAAAAATAATTCCCAACTAGATAACTATTTGCATGTTCACAGAATGTGTATCAAGCTATTCTTGAATAGGCATTTTGACAACCTACTTTTTTTCATCTTAAATAAGTTAATACACAAGATGCGCAAATCCGTTCACAGAACTTGGAGGAGAGGATACTTTCACTGGGCAAACAAATTTGGGTACAAATGTTGACAAGACCTTGGCTTTTACACCGACTATCATTCTATGGAGTTTGTTTTTGTTGCCTTCACTCGGCTGTTGCACTCCAAGAATGGCAGGACAAGAAAGGCACTCTCAGAAGACAATTGGTGGGCAAAAAAGTAAGCCCATGATTCTTCAGCTTCAAGACCAAAGAACTGCTTCTGCATCTGTAAAATGAATCACTTAGCAAACAAGTATGGATCCCCAGGGAAACAAGACAAGTCTCATGTTCTTGATCGTTTTTGCTTTTGAGAAACAAAGCGAACCCCTTGCTTCCCAAGATCCAACGTCCTTGCTCTTCCATCATCTAGATGAACAGTTAAAGACGATGTGCTTTCCGTCACATCAGTAACCACTCCCTTGTGCCTGCAAGAAAAACGATGCAGATTCTGTCCTCAGGAAATCTCTATTTCTTATTAACAATTTCAGTAAAACTATTGATATTGATAGCATTGCCATTTCAGAAAAATGAAGGCATCTAAATAAAAGCATAAAAGCACTATTTTAATGTCATTTACAATTTTAACAAGATAAGAAATCATCTTCTAAAAACTTGCAGTGTACCCAAAAGAAAATGTTAAGAGGCACAAGAAGAATAAGACTCACCAGGAGTTATCAGATGGTTGATGAACTTCAACTCTTTTCCCAATTGCATCCTTGCCCAATTTCTTCAAGATCCAGTTGGCATCCATAACCTCATTTATTGGATTTTCCTGACGGAATTCTTTTCCATCTTCCCTAACTAAAGCCTTTTCAGTTGAAGGTGATGGTCTTTTTCTTTTTGACCTCTGCCCTTTGATAAAACTCTTTTCTTCCTCCCCTTGGGGAACCCAAGAACTCCGGTTGTCAAGGTAAGRATTCTTAAATTTAAGCTTCAACAACGGTTTGGGGTCTTTTGTCAATGAATCAGAAATGGAGGGTGTGAGAGTGGAGTTATTGCAGATTTCACCATGCTTATTAAGTGTGCCTTTTGAATGCTTCCTCAGAAAGGCGTCATCATCCCTCAATGTGGTTGCTTCRGCTACAGGCTCCGCCATGGCAGAATTTCCTTCAGTGTCATTTTTACACAATAAAACATGAGTTTTTTCCAAAGAACTAGACTGGTATCCGTCTCTGGAATTTCCTCTGCTGATATTTAGGTCTGTATCAGAAACATCTGATTTAAACTTTCCCAACTTTATCAAGCTGCCTTCCCTGCCTCTAAGACCTTTTAAATTGGTTGTGCCAAGTTTCTCTCCTGCACATATCAGATAACCAAATGATTTTGCTAACAAATTGAAACTAAAAGAAGTGTATTCCATTTTTTGTATGTTCGATAATATAGCATGGGGATGGTACAAGAAGTCCAGACATCTGATTAAGAGGAAGAACTGGTTTCCCAAAACAAATCTCAATTATCATCTGGAACTAAGAAATACCTCTACCATCTACAAATCTTGCTACACCATCTTGTCCATCAATCATATACTTCTTACCATTGGCCTTCTGTTGGCTGGTTTCCTCATTACCTGTCAGCAAAATAAGAAAAAAAATGCTTAGTCATAACCAAATAAACAAGTCCCTGACATTGGATCATCTATCACAGTAAAAATGAATTGTCATAGGAGAAAAATACAAACTAACATACTAAAGGAGCGACAGTGTTTTAAGTCTGAACAACATACTCAATCTTCTGCAAAAGTTTTCGTCTTTGATATCCACACTATTCTACTCAATTTCTAGTCAAGATGTCCAATGTGAAGTTGGTCATTTTTTTTTGAAGGTATACGTTTGTCATTTATCCAAGCATTGTAGAATAACTTGTATTTACTGATAAAAAAAACTTGTATTTCAAGTGAAAAATTAGGTCATGTTTCTTTCGTGCAACTGATGTGGACACCAAATTCTACTGCTTGTTTGAATGGCTATAGACATTTTCATTTATTTGTGGATGATTTCTCAAGATACATGTATATTATAGCAGAGAGGAAGTACCTCAATAATGCTCAAAAATACCTAGAAAAAGGCATCTGCAATCCTTACTCAAAGAGAAAAAAGACCCTTGATCATGTATGTGCCTGTACCCAGCAGAAAGGAGTTGCAGAGATAAAGTTGACATATTGTGGAGGTTGCTAGCTGTCTACTTTTCCATACGCATGCTCCCATACGCTTTTGGGGAGATGCAGTACAAACCACTATGTACTTGATCCAACAAATTGTCATCACGAATATTATAAGGAGGTTTGCCAAGGTTGATTGATTTACTATAATTTCAGACACATAACAAGCAATTTCATTAATCATAATACAGTGTATAGTACATCCATACAAGCCTACAGTTAGAGATGAGACCTGTTAGGTTGTTATCTCTCCCCTGTTTTTATTTTTACAATTGTGCCCAAAACAATTGATCTCACCCCACCCCTTGTTTTGCTAGATAATTAGCCATAATATTGGCTGTTCTATATATCCATTTGAATCTAACCAATGTTTTTAAACCGTTGTTGACCCGTCTGTTCGACCATTCAAACTGACAACTGCAAAAAAGTGGGTCCTTTTCACACTAAACCCAGTATTTGAAAAAAAAAACTGTTGAATTTGGTCAAGAATCATCGACCTGGATGGTCAAACTGGTGAACCATTTGAACTGTTGACAGGTCACAGTTCAAACAATCCCAATGTATATAAGAGCTAACCCTAAACCTCTTTGATTCCTTTTCTTGTTCCCTTTTATTCCTTCATTTTTTACTTTTCTTCTCAGATCCACTTCTGCTGCTGCCATTTATTGCCACTGCAGACCTATTGCCGCCATCAGTGCTTTACAAGTTAGAACCACAACAGATCTGTGTTGTGCGACCACTACTCCTATGTAACAGCCCAAGGGAAGCTGTTAGTGTGCATTTTGGGGCAGAGATCTCTCTAAACAGATGGATATCAAGTTTTCAACTCTCTGGGTAGATCTCTCTAAGTGGAGAGCTGTCCCTTGTTGTTCCTCTCTCTCTCTCTGGGAAGATGGATCTCCATATGTGCTCCTTTCTCTACTTCTATTGCAGCTGTGGGAGAGCCATTGTCAACCTACCAGCTGTGGCTTCTTGACATTTCCCCTCCCTCCCTCACTCTCTGAATCTTTCGTAACTACAAATCTCCAATCTTAATATTTTTCCCCTCCCTTTCTTTTCCTCTTATTTTCCCATCCACCCTGAAAACCTAGATCTACGGCAGTATATTCAAGATCCTGATCCAAAGGCTATAACACAATTACGGGTTGAATCGTTGACTCGGAAAGTTGAACTGTTGACCCACGACCCAAAGGGGGAAACTGTTCCATTTCTGGGTCGTTTTTCAAAACATTGAATCTAACCTCCCCGCCTCCAGTAAGCCACCTGAATTTTTTTAATTACATTTTTATATACCCATAAAGTTGTCTCTTTATTCTGCAACCACCCTATCTCCAGCCTGGAATCTCCTTCAATTAGGGCTGCTAATGGTTCAGTTAACCAAACCATGGGCACATATTTGAAAACAAGCCCGTCCTTCGGTTTTTAAAAAACACCAAACCAAACCAATTGGTTAACCTGCTTATCGGTTTTTTGTATTTATAATATATTATAAATATTTATAATATAAATACTATAAATATATAACATATTATAAATAAATATCTATACATCTAATATATACTTGTATATAATACATACATAATATTTACATATAATATATAGATAATATATAGATAATATATGATATATATACCAATCGGTTCAGTTATCCACATTTTTTTGGTTTGGTTTCTCGGTTTTTTGGGCACCCTACCTTCAATTATTAGTCTGCTAATGTTCACACTTGCCCTTTGCACACCCTCCATTACAGCCATAATATCAGCTCTTAGCAAATCTCCTATATCAATTGGACACAAGAATACTCCAATAATATGTCCTTATTTCTGAAAATATCACCCTTTCACGATGGTCCTGGGTTCCCCTTATCTTATTTTCACATTTGCTAAGAGCTTTGATGGTAGTCCCCTTTCACCTAGTGCTATGAATCTCCACTCTTCTTAATATAAAAATGACTGGGTTGTGCCTGGCACGGACTGAGTCGTGCTCTAAATACAAACAAAACCTAGTGACACATTGCTTAGCTAAAGTATCTGCCACCCCATTACTCATTCACCTCACCTATTGCATTCTCAAATTCATACTTCTAGTGAACCATGTAAAATTTTTCATCTCATCCCTAAAGCACCAAGTTATGGATTTTGGTTCCTTCAACCATCTAACCACTAGTTTTGAATATCAATCACCACATTGAGCATGTTCATCTCACTTGCGATTTTGACTCCTTGTAATAGAGCAAGCAATTCAGCTCTAGCCAAGTCCCTGATTCCCAATGGGCCTGAAAATAAAGCAACAGCATGTCCTATGTTTCTTAACACCCCTCTGATTCCAAAGGGGCCTAGGTTACCTTGACTGCTTCCATCAAAATTCATCTTGACAAATCCGATAGAAGGGGCTTGCCAAACCATCTGCACTTTTTCCTTCTTAGAGGAGCTTCTAGCCACGTCCCAATTTCTCCAAATATCATCGAAAGATAACTGTGAGAACAAGTCCAAGGTTCTAATCCAGCATATCGCCCTGGCCATCACACAATCTCCTACCGCTTCCTTGTCTCTCTCCTTCTCAGTGAAAATTCTTGCATTTCTCTCTTCTCAAATCGTCCAAATCAAAGCAGCTCTAACACACCTCCACATGATTCTCCCCTTTTTCTTAGGCCAAGCAAAGGTAAAGAGATCAAATAACAAATTTACCTCTGTTGGTTGATTCCACTTGCACCTAAAAGAGAGAAAAACCAATCCCAAATATCAGCAACAAAAGGACAAGAAACAAGTAAATGATAACTCACAATTGGATTTACACAAAGTGCACCAGTTAGGAGAAACACGAAGAAATGGCCTTTTTTGTAGCATGTACATAGTGACTAAGCAAGCGAGCACAAGACTTAAGCAACAAAAGCTCCTATTTTAGGTGGGATGCGTTTAACACCAAAACTCTTTGGACAGAAACCAATAGGGGGAATGGAGGAACATATAGACTTAAGTAAGCGGGCACAAGAAAAAATACCCCTCGAAAGAGATTCAAATATGTTTATCCAGTTTAGAAGGGTCCAAATATGTTTATCCAGTTAGGGAAGGCAATTCATCATCCCTTATCTGGTTTAGAAGGGTCATTTTTAAAAATGTCTATATTAACAAAAATAAATGAACAACATTAGCAAAGGGTGTTCTCGGAATCATCCCATAATTCAAAAGAAACTAAAAGAGATGTCAGACTTTTGAGTTGAAAATTATGGACATTAGCCTGATTAAGACAAAGTTACTAATAGGGTGCACACTAGACCCACTAGTAGAATGTAGAGAGCTTAACCATATATCCACAGGTTCGGATCRTTGCCTCCCTCAAAGCAAGAGATGGCTTACAACCACCTTGACTATGAGTAGATTGGTACTCTATGAGATAAGTTTCATCCTCGACCTAGCAATAACAAATCATCTTTTAAACTACCCAAACTGCGCTATTTAGATTAACTTCATCATGAATGTCATAACTTTAAGGCTGATAATAATTATGTGGCTAGAAATCAGCCCTCAACTCTAAAGCTAACCAAGAGAGGAATTATACATTTAAGATGGAAATAATGGACATTTGCCCAAATAAGGCAAAGTTAGAAATAGGTGCATATCAGACCAACACAATGTAGAGAGCTTAACCATAAATCCAATTATCCACAGGTTTGAACCTGTGCCTCATTGCAACTTTGCAAGGGATGCCTTACAACTAACTTGACTGTGAATAGATAGTTATTCTATTAAGTGGTCTAGAATCAGCCACTACTTTTGAAGCTAACAATAACTAACAATAGTTATTCTATTATGCCTTACAACACAATGTACCAATAGGATGAACACCAAACCCACTGACACAATGCAGAAAGCTTAACCATATATTCACAAGTTTGAAACAATGCCTCCTCATTGCAAGGGATGGCTTACGGCCAACTTGACTATGAATATATTCATACTCCATGAGGTAAATAATAAAAAATCAAAACAAATGAATCAGTTTCATCTTTGACATAACAATACCAAATCTACTATTAAATTACCCAGCTGAGATATTTAAGTTATCTTTGTCACGGATGCTATGATTACTAAGGGTTATAATAATTAGTTCGGCTTCAATCACTGCATAACTCTGAAGCTATCAATATAGGTGCCAAAATTTTAGGTTGGAAATTATAGGCCTTTGCCCGACTAAGGCAAAGTTACCAATAGGGTGTGTATCAGACCCATTGACACAATATAGATTGTTTAACCATATATCAACAAGTTTGAACCCGTGACTCCTCATTACAAGGGATGCCTTACAACCAATATGCATTTACAATTAAAATGGTTGGGTGGTTTACATTGTCTTATTCTTCTTTGAATTTTGTACCCAAATACAGCAGGGAAATGATTGAACAAGGTGTTGGATATGGAATTTACACTAGAATTTGAAGTGAACACACTTGGGCAGGTATATGGGCACAAAATACTATACATCTTAATGAGAATGGTAGAAGTAGGAAAGTATTAAAAAATAACATAGGATTCTGCATACCAAAAAGCTACTGAATAAAAGCATGATGAAGAATAGAAAAAGAAGTGTGTTCTTACTTTCCAGATCTACTAAGTTCTTGATAACAATTTCAGCATAAGCAAGCATGAGAAACTACAGATATATTCAAATAGAGATGCTATAAAGTTTAAGTACTAAAAAGAGAACTTTACAAGAAGACCCGTTCAGGCAATGCAGTGAAAAAGATAAGTACTTGCACATATGTTATTCTTGTCCCTACTACTTTTCAACCATCTTTTGTTCTGTTTCTTTTTCTCCTTGGTTTATTTTGGCCTTTTACTAAGATTCTTATCTGCTGTTTGAAGTAAATATTATCATTTGTTAAGATGAACTAGTTTGTATTGAAATAGATGACATACCATTAGATGTTACATCTTGCTCTTTGTGACAGCTTGAAGCTTCTGACCTTGGAGAGCCAGTTACAGTTCTGTTTCTTGCACCTAAATGTATAACTAGCTTCTTTCCCTTGGTTTCTGATTTGCTAGCATATTTTCCCATATCTTCCTCCATACCATGTGGTTTACCACTGCTAATTTGGATAACTCTGGAGGCTCTATCTTTGTTGTTTACCATAGTATCCTCAATAAAATTGTGCTTGACATTTCCAGGTTGATTAATAGAGCATCTCTCTTTGTCATCAACTATAATTCCAGCAGGAGACAAAGATGCATCTGACCCCTCATTTCTATATGAGCGTATTTGATCATCTCTTTCTTCATCCATGCTATTCTCAAGTGATTGTGCATCATGCTGTGTATCAAAACTCTGATGACCTTCAGTTTTCAATAGGTGATATCCTTTCTTCTTTACATACTTTTKGTTTGAGTATTTCTTCCCATGTTCCTTGGTGTTCTTTGAGGCCTTGTCAACTAATCCTTTGACTGAAAATCTTAAAGAGCGTCCATACTCATTTTTTAATATAACAGGGCCACTTTCTTCATCATCTGAAAATGGTGAGATGGAAAATATCTCTTCTTGAGTTGGCAATCCCACAGCAGCCCTCAAGCCTGCAATCTCCTCTCTATCAGCTTCATCTCTTCTCCTCCAAAGTTCAGGTATAGCTTCTTCAGGCTTCTTTCCAACCTAGTATATGCAAAATACCACCCAAATAGTGGTAAGTCACCAAGTATTCTCAGCCAAAAAGATTCTCATATAAATTGAAGTGTTAAGCATACCTTGTAACAGTCTCCTCGGCATGCAGCACACTTGTAGTAAAGATTTTTATCTGTTTGAAACTGCAGATATTTTTCATCACTGCACATAGTATGTAGAAATAAGAAATTTAATAAATGAAAATTGACAGTTCAAATCAGGATAATTGCTAAAAAAGTACAAGAAGGGAGCAGTTTGAATTGAGCATAAATAAGGGGGAATATATAATGCCTAGTTAACCCAAGAAATAGCCACACAAGAGGTTCCACATTTGATAGCTCTATGCAAAAAGAGAGAGACTACTGCAGAAGCCAATACAGTGAGCAGATTTCACAGTAATCTCTCTGCTGATACTATTCTTATCTCCAGCATGCTTCAGTTGAAGATAAGATGGGGAAGGCATCGTACTTGTGTCAACAGGATCAATCAAAACAAAGAAAATTTGAATGATGTACACTTCTTAGTACAACCATCAGAAGTCATGTGCTTGCACTTGCAGTGAACACAGACTGGTGCTTGCATTGGGTCTATTAACAGCAAAATCTTCAGTTATCATCACTTGAAGACTAAAATTCGATGACTAACTAAAAGAAATCATAATCAGATGAGATATGAAGAAGGAAAACGCAGTGGTTATAAAAGGAAGCAGAAGTTTCAGGTGGTTAGAGTCGTTAGACATTAGCAATTGGGCTCTTTCTTTGAGTACCTCATTAGCATGGATATAGTACCATATAACATTATTGACACCCTAATAAGGATGGAATCCTGATGGAACTTCATAACAAAATGTTCTTCCACCCACCCAACCCCTATTGGCCCTCTTCTATTTTTCCTTCTTTTATGGCACCATTACTGGATAACAAGTTTCTATCATTACCACAGTTTTGCCATTAAAATTCAGGGAAGAAAATTCCATAGACAATTCTTTGAACACTACAGCTAAGAAAAACAATCTTTTTGAAAAAGTTAACTGTAGCTAAGAAAAACAATCTAATGCATAGAAAGCAAATGATACCTTGAAAAGGATAGAACAGTGAACCCAAAATTCAAAGAGAACCCGACCTCTCTGACATTAAATGCTACTGCCAATGAAACTTCTTTCAAAGATTGATAAAAAAATCTTAAATTTTGGATGAAGACCCTATTAGTGTACAGTTTGCTCAAATATCACTCTCTCAGATGACAGTCAGCACTGAAGTTGTACAACCCCAATTTCTGCTGTGCTAGCACTAGATGAAAACCATTACCACCAGAGTTTAGCAGGATAGTATGTCTTGCTTATTCCATACACAATACAAGAAAATAAATTTACCCCCACAAAGATCAATTACAGGAATTCAAGAATTATACCAGAACCTCCTCCACAAATAAGAATACTTTCACCAAGGCCTGGCCATGGTGAACCAAATTTTCAGAGACTTAACTTCATAAATGGGTAAAATTTCTGAGCTGGCACAGATCCAAGCATCTATTTTATCTGGATACCCCAGATAGTTGATTTCATATTCATCCTGGATACCTTAATTTCAGGTATGAGATCTGTACCCACACCATATCCATGTCTGTCCATGTTGTGTCTAGTTAACATGGTCAAGCAAGCTATTCTGTTCAACCAATGGCTCTATGATAATGGTCAAAAGTTCCTTTTAGACAAAGTTTAGCAAAGGGAATACAGAGCTGAGCTTCTTCTTCTTCTTCTTTTTGATTAGTAAAAGAAAAATTTTCATTGAGGAAAAAAAATACAATGAGGTGTCAAGGCAACACCTAGAACAACTCAAAACAACAACAAAAACAAAACCAAACTAAAAACACCAAATAACCAAATTACAATTTTGAGATTCCATCTTATCCCTTACACTAACCCCAAAGACAATTTTCTTGACTTGATTAATTCAGACATCACCACAACCCATCCAGCAACAGAAAAACCACAGATGCTACTAACCTAACCAAATTCCAAACCTTGACTTCAACATCTCAACTAATTTCTTCTTCCACCTTGAAAATTCTTACCACACTCCTTACCTAAAACCTTCTACTTCAGCCCCTGATATTCCTTAATCATCATCTCATATCCACTTTCACCCTCCACCATCCTTCTTTTCTGCAAACAGTCCCTCCAATAAACTCCCAACAAATCCTCTTCCCTCCCTTCTCCTTCCTCCCATTTTCTCACCCATCTCCTCAACCTTTTTTCTTTTTCTTTCTGACTTCAGAAAAATCCTTTTATTCTTCATACCTTTTTTTGAAGAATAAAAAGAAAGAATTCATTAAACAAAAGAAGGAAGTACAAACAAGGAGGTGGCAAGATGTCACCTCACCATTCCAAAAATTCTCCCCCATATTTGAATCACTGATTTGAGCAAATTCTAGAAGAACCCAAGCCCAATTCACCACTAGTTTCCCACCACCACTACAAGTATTTCAATGTTTTTAGATTTATCTTCAAATACTCTTTGGATCCTTACATTCTACAAGGCCCAGCTGACCACAGAAGAGATATGGCTCCAAAGATCTTGCCTTCCTTCCGTCACAGATGCTTGGCCAAGCTGAGAAGAATTCTGCTTTAATCTTGGCTTWAATGATCTGATTCCAAATCCCCTGTTTTAATTTCCTCCTATCTATCTCAAACTGTTCAAATGCCTTTCTCTTCCCTTCCATAGAAGAAGTGAAGAACAGACCCAAGGATTTTCCCATTGTCACCTCCCTCTCTACTATCTTCCTAATTTCCACTGTTCCATCCTTGATTATTATCAGCCCTCTCTATTCCTCCTATTCTCCTCCTCTTCCCCCCTCTTTTTTTTTGAAGAATCAGAATACAAAATTTCATTAAAAGAAAAAAGATTCATACAACCCGGGGGCGTTAAGATAACACCCAGCCGCAACCTAACACAAATCACACTCCAATAGTTAAATCAGGAGACAAGGAACTGGTCAAGATTACAAGTCTGTAACTCAAGAAAATTCCAAAAATTCTCTCCCAACTCTGTTCTGCTAATCTGAAGAAAATCTGGATGCACCAGAATCCAATCGGATACTGAATTCTCAACCATAGCTAATAGCCTTCAAATGTTCTTTTGTTTGTTCTCAAATAATCTTCTATTTCTCTCCATAATAGCCAACAGACTGAAAAAGGGATGCAGTTCCACATGATAATTGCTTTCTCGCTCCCATTAAATCTTGGCCAAAGAATAACTCTGCTGTAGTCAAAGACTGAAATAAGTTCATTCCAAATAGAAAGGAGAAAAAAATCCACATGAAATCGGCCAACCTGCAAGTGTAGAACAGGTGGAATGCTGTTTCCTCATCCGAACAGAAAAGATAACAGAAACCTGCCAAGCAGAAACCTCTATTCTTCAGATGGTCTGAAGTTAAGATCCAATGACACTCTGGGGTGGGGGATAGAATTCCCCCACACTCCTTCCACCTGATCGACAACCATCTGCTCCCTTATCAGTGCCATGTAAAAGGATTTTTTTGTTTTATCAATAACCACAGAATTCATTAATATTGGAAAAAAGTTACAGGGAAGAGGAGCTAAAGAACCTTAACTCCCCAGAACAGAAATACATCTGAATTAAACACTCAAAACCTTACAACTAAGCCCAAAACCCAGAATTTCTAAAAACTCCTTGCCTAGCCAATCCATCAGCAAAGGATTTAGCATTTCTTTTAACCCAAGTACATAGGACTTCCATATCCTTAATCAGCCACTTGAATTTTCTTTTCTCATTGTTGTAGCTCCACATCTTGGAAGTGTCTTCTTTCAGCCAATCCACAACAACCGCAGAATCTCCTTCTATAATCAGTTTCTTAACTTTAATTTCTTTGGCTCTTTGCACCCCTTCCAACATTACTAACACCTCAGCCCTCAAGGAGTCTCCCACTCCAATTGGACTAGAGAACAAAGCTATTTACATTACCTCTCTTATCCCTTAGGAACCCCCCAATACCCGAAGGCCCTGGATTCCCCATGTTACTGCCATCAAATTTTAGTTTGATAAACCCAGGAGGTGGAGGGTTCCACATGAGATTCAAATTCTTCTTCTGTAACTGAACTAGCAACTTCTTTCCACTTTCTTAGCAAATCGTTTGTTGAAAAATCTGTAAACTCCTTCATTGTCTTCAGCCAGTATATTACTCTTATATGAATCAATTCTACCATATTTTCCAAGCCTCTCGCCTTTTCCGAGAAGATCCTTGCATATCTTTCCTCCCATAATGTCCAACAAACAGCAGCTCTCACGCATCTCCACATAATTCTTTGATCTTTTCATTGAGCATTCAATAAGTGAAGAGGAAAACAAGCTTTGCAGGCTAGTTGGAGGTGTCCACCTGCACCCAAATAAAGAAGCAAACCAATACCAAATATTTTTTGCCAAAACACAAGATATTATTAAATGGTACCCAGACTCACCAGCAGCTTTGCAAAAAACACAACGGTGTGGAGATAAACAGCTATTGGGTCTTTTTCTTTGAAGTAGGTCACCTGTGTTGATTCTTTCAAGGAAAACTCCCCAACAAAAGCTCCTAACCCTCGGAGGTATAGGCGTACACCACACTTCCTTGATAGGGAATGACAGTCCAATAGGAATTTCTGGTTGTATCAGGGCTTTAAAGAATGATGCACAAGTAAAGGATCCAGTGGGAGACAAAGACCATATCCTACTATCTGTCTTTGTGGGTTCCAAGAAAATCCCATCAAGAATGGACAAAAGAGAAGAAACATTATCCAGTTCTGTGTCCCTGAGTGCTATTCTCAAACCCAAGTTCCAACCAAATCCGGAATTTGAGTTTGAGGAAACGAGGAAACTGGTAATTGGTTCATTTTTTAGGGTGGAGAATGCAAATAGAGCCGGAAATTGTAGTCAGGAATTGTTTAAATGTTCAAAATATAGTCATGGCATTATACTATTGCTAACTATTTACTCTGGGCCCATAGGCTACAGTGGCTTTACATGGACTGAGGTACTGGCAGTGTTACAATGATTAAGAATGGGATGGATTAAAATAACAAGGACCAGATATATAGGCACATCATGGGACTATGAAAATATGGCAATCTTTTGACTGGACAAACTGCCAACAGTCTAGCTGATTTAGCTGGACAAAGGGCTCATAAACATCAGTTATATCGGGGATATTTCCTATGGAGACTGAACATACTTTGAAATATAATGGACGTTTAAGGAGGTTGATATGTTGGGTCAGCTTACCAAAGAGACTGCTTGGCACAATTTGCAATACTGTAGTTCACTCATTCTTTCATAATAGATCAAAAAAGTTTCAGTTGTTGATCAAAAAACTAAAAAAACAGCAGCAACTAACCTGATACCATCACACTGCAAGTGCACCCATTTCTGGCAATCGTCACAGCAAACCATTGGTGTTAGTTCAGAATCTCTATAAACCTACAAGTTAGACAAATGAATCTGGTCAACATCTTCTCTGGAGGCAATAGGTGATTGAATTTAATAAAGAGAAATCCAAATTCTAGGTTAATTCCCTAGTTATATAGGTCTGCAAATAGATCAGATTTAATCAGATTTGAATTCGAGCCCAATTTGTTTAAGTTGGATTAAGATGTCCATTTATTTATAATCAGATCAGATTGGAACTGAAAACATGGTCTGCTTATTAATTGGATCAAATTTAGATATTGCTTGATCTAATCCACTAAAATCCGATCCAATTCAATCAAATATACATACATATAATATTACTTTTAGTAATAAAAATCTTTAGAATTAATTTTTTTTTATGAATGAAGATAATTTATTAACCCAGAAATATGAGGCAACACAGGAGATCCAAGAAGAGGCACGAGTTGTATTTATATAAATCTACTTTTTCATTCATAATATATATATATATATGTCTTGTTTTATAATTAACTTTCTGAATTAATGCTAATTTTATATAACTTTATTGATATTTTAATTGAATCAGATACTCAGATATGTAAACGAATCAAAATTGTATCCATGTTTTGCATATCCATCAGATATTGGATAAAGTTTGGATCTCTTGAATTTGGATATACCCCTATCCAAATTTGAACCAATCCATTTGCACACCCAGTTTTATATGCCAAATAGTATGCATGCATATATTGAAAAAAAAAACAATAAATTGATCATTTGTCTAACTTGTAGCCCTAAGTTAAGAAAGCAAATTTGTTTAATGTAGAATTTGAGGATTATTTTCTTGAAATCCCAAGGCTTTCTTTAGGACTATTTCAACGGGAAAGTTGATCTAATTTGAAGTTTGATATGCATGGGAGACATTACAATCAAGGATAAACTTTAGGAATCAATCCAATTCCACTGTAATTATGTAGTCCAGATTTTTGAACCACATCAGATTGGCTCTCTCAGCCAATTAGCTAAGACTTCAAAGGCTCTCTAGACCATCATCCAGTCAATGAAAACCTAGGAATTTCTATCAATAATGATACCCTCATATTACATAGATAAGGAAAGACAGAGAACCTGGAAGAGAAATAATAGCTCTGCTCTGATTTAACCTCTTAATCCCACTGGCACAAGGTATGTATTATGTAAGGAAAATTATCTATCAGCATCAATAAGTACACCCCAGATACCAGATCATTCTGAACCTCCCACAGACCACCCCATTAAGATTAAGATTCCTTAACCACCTATATATTTATTTCAAGTTCTAGTGATCTTTCAATAAATGTACTCAACAAATAAAGTACCACCAGTAAAAAGCTATTGTCCAATGCTAGTCCTGGTTACCCACACGTCTTAGGAGGAGGGTTCTGAATTTGAACATAACCTCCAGCATATTATTGCGCTATTAGACTCAAACCCACATTTTGACCATCACATTAAGCAAGGATCCCTTCGGAAAGTAATAGTAATGGTACGCTAAAAGCAAAAGCCAACAAATTCATTATTTTGGAGCAAAAAAGTGGCACCTTCAAGCAAATAGGGCAGTAATTTCCTTTCACAAACAATCTGCCACAAGCATCACAGAAAGTATACCCTAGAAACCATCTGCACATTTTAAGAGTAAGAGTTAGTCATCTCGTTGGGTAAAGATAATATGCCTTCCAATAAAATTCTCTTGTATCATTATCTTTGAATTAATAAAATTTTACCTTACCTTTAGTCAAAAAAATAGTAAAAGAAAAGAAATGTTATTAAAAAATTAAAATAAAAAAGTCTGATTGCATCCAAAGGACAAGGTGTTAAGGCAACATCTTTTTTTTTATGGGAAACGGTAACTTTCATTAATAATAATGGATAAAAATTACATCTGCCACCATCTAAGGGCCGGATGGAGAACCCTTTGATACAAATTGTCTCAAAAACAGGCCCAAAACTACTCTTGCCTATTGACTCTTTGCTTTGCTAAAGCATCAGCCATACCATTTGCTGATCATCTTGCCCAAATAAATCTCACCCCAATCTCCCTTGCTAAGCTTGAGATTTCCCTTAGTTGATGTCTGAAAAGCCACGTGCCCAAGCTTCTAGATTGCAGCCAGCCTATTACCAGTTTGGRGCCTCCCTCCACTTCTATTTGTTGCAATCCGCAATTCTTTGCCAATCTGAGACCTTGGAGTAAAGCAAAAACTTCTGCTCTTAGGGAGTCTCCCACCCCCATAGGGCATGAATACAGGGCCAGCAATCTACCTCCCTCATCTCTGAAAACACCCCCTATTCCCAAGGGGCCCAGGTTTCCTATAGAGCTTCCATCAAAATTTAGTTTCACTTTAGAACAAGGCGGCGAGGTCCAACTTTCCTGAACTGATGGGGAGAAAGATGAGGAACCAACTATGACACTCCATCCTCTAGTGAAGCCAGTGAAAGAAAAGTCTTTAAAAAGCTCCAAAGCTTTCAGCCAATGTATGATCCTGGTAGTGATGCCCTCTATAAGTGTTTCCTTGGTTCTTTCCTATCATTGGAAAGCCCTATTATTTTTCTCCTCCCACACTGACCATAATACAACTGCTCTAGTTGTTTTTCACATCACCCTGCCTCTCTTCTTTGGAACTGGAAGAAGCTAGAGTCAAAAAGGTTCCGCATAGACGAAGGAGTCCACTTGCAACCAAAGAGAGAGAGGAGAACCAAGGCTAGGTTCAAGAAATCTCCATAACCACTTTCCTAACAAGGCTAAGTTCCTTGATCTAATATTACCAATGCCTAAGCCCCCGTCCTCTCGCCTCCTAGTGACAACTTCCCACTTCACTAGGTGATCCTTTTTCGAGTCACCCAATTCCCAAAGAAAATCCCTCATCAACTTTTCAATTTGACTTGCTATCTTCACAGGAAGCTTGAAAGTGGACAAGAAATAAATGGGTAGGTTGGCCAAAGTAGACTTGAAAGTGGACAAGAAATAAACTAGGTGCAAACTCTCTAATCTAGGTTTCCCCCTAAGGGTAAACCCAAATAAACCATTGGCCAATCACTTACCCCACAACCTAGAGATGTTGCCACAAGTATCACCTCTCCTTGCCGGTTTAATTTAATCCCGCTACATAGCTCTTATTCCAATTAATTTCAAGTTAGAAACCCTCTCGAAGTATGTCACTAAGAGCTTCAAAGTTTCCATTTCCTCTGGTTCCCCTTCACAAAAAAGGATGATATCATCTACAAATTGTAAATGTGTGACTATCACTTGATGTGTCCCAATTCTACAACCTTTGATTAAATTTCTTGCGTCAGCCCTAATTATCAACACACTCAAAACATCCGCTACCAGAGTAAAAAGGAAGGGGGACAAAGGGTCTCCTTGTCTGAGACCTCTCTTAGCATGAAAGAAATCTCTAGCTACACCATTAACCAGTATGGAATAGTGACAAGTAGTTATACAACCTTTAATCCAGTTTTACACCACCTCTCTCCAAAACCTCTATTTTTCAAAAGATCCAACAAGAAGTCCCAATCTACCAAGTCGTAGGCTTTTTCTAGGTCAAGTTTACAAATCAAGCCGTTTTCACCTTTTTTTTCCTGTAATCCTTATACACATTAGCAATAAGGATTTGATCGATGATTTGTCTCCCTACTACAAAAGCCCCTTGATTAAAGATGGGAGTACGTTTTTAATCCTCAAGGCAAGAACTTTGGAAATTAACTTATACATGCTCCCAATCAAGCTTATGGGTCTAAAATCCTTAGGATAGTGTGCACCCCACCTTCTTAGGGATCGAAGCTAAAAAAGTCGCATTTGCACCCGAATTAATTTTCCCTCTTTCAAAGAATTCTAAGAATACCTCCATCAAGTCCTCCCTTCAAATGTCCCAACAGTCTTGATAAAAGGCCATTGTAAAGCCATCTGGACCCAAGGCTTTTGACCTATCCATAGAGAAAAGGGTCACTTTTGTCTCCCGACTCTCAAAAAGTCTCCCCAAGGACTCCATCAATTCTCTGTCACCCATCTATCATTCAAAATCAACTAGAGGCTCTCTCACACTACTAGGGCTGTCAAAGATGGATTTAAGATGCTCAACTAGGGCTCTTGCAATATCCTCTTCATTAGTCAGCACTTCTCCATTCCAATCCAGACTTTCTATCGTATTCTTCCTTTTCCTTCCACTTGCCAAGTTATGAAAAAATATTGTATTACCATCCCCTTCTTTCATCCATTTGCATCTTGATTTTTGTCTCCAGCTTGTTTCATCTCTTCTAAGGAATTCCTCTAGTTCAACTTTTAACCTCCACCTCTCCTCCCTCTCTGTTGCCCCCATACTTCCACAAGCTTCCACTGGGTCTAAATCTTGAATCCTTTTAATGATAGTCTCCTTTTTTTTCTTCAACTCTACTGAATTCCTCTTTATTCCAATCTTTAATCCTAGCTTTCAACTTTTGTAGCTTCTTATAGAATCTATAACCTTTCCATCTAAAAGCTACTTGGTCCTCATCCCACCAATCTTTCACTTTACTTTTAAATTTCGGGTGGAGCAACCACATATTTCCAAATCTAAACGGGCATGGACCTCCCAATCTTTCTTGTGACAGTCTAGTTGGGCAATGATCCAACATAGTTCTAGGTAGAGCTCTTACAGTCAGCCCTCTCCAAAATTTCTCCCAATCTGAAGAGAGAAGGAATCTATCTGACTTACAGTAGCTAGGCTCTTCTTGAAAGTTAGACCAAGTGAAATTAGCTTGTAGCATTGGCAACTCCCTTAACTCAAAGGAGTCCACAAAGTGGTTGAACTTCCTCATGCTTGAGGTGATCCTATGGTTGGGGTTGTTTGTTTCATAGACAAATCTAATCACATTAATATCACCATCCAAAATCCATGGACCCTCCTACAGTCCCCTTATAGCTGCAAGCTCCTACCAAAGCTCCTCTCTTTCCCTATACAAATTTGGACCATAAACATTTGTTAGTGCCCATTCCAACCCATCCTGTCTCCTCCTAAATTTTGTTGTAACCATGAAAATACCAAATAATTCTTTGGAGCAATCCAACTCTTCATTTTTCTAGATTGTCAGAATCCCCCCTGAGGCCCCCCAAGATGGGTGAGGAGTCCTCTAGAAGCCTAGACACTCACCCATCTCCTATCTACTTCGGAAATCTCTGATTCTTGGATTAGCACAATGTCTAATCTCTCTAAGTACTTCCTTGATCACTCTTCTTTTCCTTGAACTCCCCAAACCTCTAACATTCCAACTAATTATCTTCATCATGAAATCAAACCTTCAAACAACCCCTACCTAAGGCTCCCACCTAATCCAATTTCCTTCCCTTCCTTCTAGTGCCACCTTTATCATAGTTCACTCCACACCTGAGCTTCTACATCTCACTCAACTTCTTTCTCCTTTTTGGTGTCTCTTCTAAAACCTTTTTACTCTCCTCTTGACTTGTGGTTGTCTCTCTTTTCTGACTCTTCTTCTACCCCTTCCTTTTTGTTTTTTTAGCTGTTGTATCTTTCTCAAAGCACTCATTGCCTTTCCTTCTAGTAGCAGGATTTGGAGTGTTAACCTCCTCTTCCTTTTACAGGTCTTTGCCTAATTCCTCCTCTACTAGAATGTGAAAGGTTTGTAGTACTAAGGCCCAAATCCTTTCCCCTTCCTTGAAATTTCTACCTCTCCCACCTCCCTTAAGACCTCTGTTATTTCCAACTCACCGGGGCAGGCAGCATCTGGGATGGACAAGGCCTCACCTGTAGGTTGGACAAAATCAACAATAGGGGAAGGGGAGGGATTAGTACAATAAACTTTATGAAAAACAGGGGGTTGACTAAACATACCAGAGGTTCCAACACTCGATATCTTTCCAGACCCAAAGGACTTGTGAAGGAAAGGGCTTTCACTATGGGTGCTCTCCTCCAAGTTATCTTGTGATGCACTAAAAGGGGAACAGGGAGAGACTGTTTCTTTGCCTTTCGAATTAAGAGAAGATAAGCTTGGACTACAAATTTCTTGGCCTAGCTCTGGACCCAGAACCAGATCTCCTTCACCTTGAATCGAAGGATTTACCTCACCCGTAGGGCGACCCTCTGACAACTTGTTCCTACCATGATCCAAAGAAAGTGTTGTTTTGTCGGTGATACATCTGCAAAGAGAAGCTATGTACCAAAATCTGCCTCTACCAACAATAGCTTCGAAATGCTCTTTATGCTGCCTAGACTGGACTCTTCAAACAAAACCACATCTTCAAACCTTCCTTCATCACAATGCACCTAGTCCATTCTTCATCTACCCTCTAGTGGTCAAACTTTGGGTTGGTGCGCTTAGGAGTTGTGGAGTATGGGACCAATCTCAATCTCCAATCAAAGTTTTCCACCATCGATTGTTTTGTAGCTGGCTTCTTCAAGATCTGGCTCAAGCTAGACGATGATAGACCTAGATTGTGGTCTATCGTCTTAATCCCTACCCCTATCGCATGACCCCTCTCTTATAACCGACCCATCTTATAAAATTGATCTCCCCACCTTTGAATTTTTCTTAGAATTAGGCCCACTCGTAGGGCCCTTTAAGTTATTTGATTCGTTAGAGGCCAGCCCAACTTGGTTTAAAGCATTCCCCCACTTAGCCCCAGTTTCTAAAGCAGGCCCATCTAAGAGTTGGTTCGCAGGGGCCTTTCCACGTAATGATCCCAATTCAAACCTCAAAAGCTTGGAAGGTTCAATTGATGGCCCAACGTTGGTCGAATAAGTTTGAACAGTTGGTTGTGCATTTACTCCATCTGTCAAGGCTTGAGCATAGGTCTTGCTCCCTCCTTTTTCTTGCCTTGCACGTTCAACATTTTCCCCTGCTTGTGAGCCTTTTATATTCTTCTTTTTCAGACCTTCCAAAAACGTGTTAGTCTCTGCCAATTTGAAATTGGTCAGTCGATAATTGCCACCTAGATAATCTTCCTCTACCCTCTCTTCCTCCTCCCTTTTGGACTCTCTCCACAAGCTAGCTTCAATGGAGGATAGAAGCCAAGCTGAGTAGAAGCAGTTGTTTGCAAAGATTTAAATTTTCCTTAAGATTTCATGAGGTTTAACTCTACCCAGTCTAATGGCTGTTGATCGAAGATCTAAGATGAAAACACCATCAAGTCGGGCCTTACATAACAAAGCAATGGACTCAAACACCTCTTTCTTCCATAGGTGGAAAGGTAGTCCAACAATTTTGACCGTAATTCCATCCATCAATTCTAAGTCCTTCAAGTTTGAGCTAGGGGACCATTTTGTAACTGTGGTTGTTTCTTCTGTTAATTGGAAGTTCAATGCACTTACTTCCACTTCATCCTCCAGCAAGTCTATCAAAACTTTGCAGTCTTCAAAAGGAGTAATTAAGACAGGACCCTTCAGTCTCAATACTTTGATTAGGTCTTCTGCGATTCTCCTCCAATCCTCTAGTTTCTTCTTCACAACAGCTACTAATTTCTTTTCCCATTCATCCTTCTCTATTCTGCAGGTTAGCTTCCCAATGCCTAGGCTGTCCACTACCAAGTTGACCCCCATTTCTTTCTCAGAAGTATAGCTTCCTACTTCTTCTATAGAAATCTCTGGAGACTTCTCTTCCTTCTGCACTTTCAGAAACTCCTGCAAGATGCTTCTAATCTCCCTCCATATTACACCTTTTTTTCCTTCAGGCAAGCATACTAACTGTTTCTTGCTTTCACCGAACACTTCCAATACAGCCAGAAACCGGCCTTTAGCATTACTTCTTCTCTCTGCTGTGTATCTCCTATTATTCCCTTCCTTCGAGCTTCTCCACTCTGCATTTCTGTTGGCAGTTAGTGCCCCATCCAGACAACCTCAAAGCCATTCAACTACATCAGCCCCTACCAGTATTACCATGGCTTTCTTCATCTCCCTCATCTTCAATGATATTTTACCTTGCATTCTGGTTTTCTCGAAGAGCAATTTTTTTTACTTCAGCCTTCAAGAATCGTCTCCATGTGGATTGCTGTTTGAACTCCATCTCAATATTCAGATCTCTTTCTCTCCTACTTGTGTATTCACTCTGCGGTCGGCTACATGAATCTTGTTCCACCACTTGGTTCTGCTATACCATATCCATTTAAGCATCTTAAAACAACTTGCTAAAAAATACAATCAGAATTGCAATTTTACAACTCAAGAATTATGCCAAGATACCAAGATAATGTGAAGCTTCAAGGCAAGAATAACCATATTAACAATCGACTCAATAGTTAATACATTATGATTGATACCTCACAGTGCAACAGCTAACAAGTGAAAATTTGACTTTGAATAATATAAAAAGGATTCCCTTCAGTATTCAGAGATTTAAAAAAAAAAACAGTACCTTGTACTTAGGCCACTTCCAGAAACATTGGACCTGCAGCTATGACACCTTGTATGCTTTGGGCACAAATAAGGGCCAGCACTAACATTCTGCTACAAATAGGAGAGTAGGGTGGTTATTTGAATCATTCTATGGAAGTTTAAGAGAAATAAATGGAGAATCTCACCTTGTGTGGAGGCTGCTGGCAGTAGCAATGGTATGCACCATCACACCTTTTACAAAACATGAATTTATTTGGATCCCCCGTTCTGCGACATACCTGGAAAAAAACAGAACAAGCGAATCAGAATAATATTTTTGGCATTGTGCATCAAAAATAGGATCAAAGAAAGAATACTATTTAAAACCATGTTTGATGCAAACAATTTAAAGTAGTCACCACAAGACCAACAAGTGGATTAGAACAAGACTTAACTGACAAACAAAACCACATGAGTAAATGTCAGTGGTTTTTTGGACTGTCTGTCTAAATGCATATTGATGCACTAGCAAGTTAGCAACATCATGTGTTTGGGTAGGGGATAAGTACATTTTGATGCACCAAAGGAAATGTTCTTTTTTTCTTGAAAAAAGTTAAAGCATTGTGTTAATGATCGCCACTATGAGGATCCACACTAGTCACACATGCATGCACAGAAAAACAGATAGTTATCCATGGTCAGAAAAAAGAATGGTGTGGAATATTGCTGAATGGGATCATGTGCTGCCCGCCAAGTGAAAAGGGTGGCTATAGCCCTCTGCATGACTCCTTCCTGTGATATCAAATTGCCTTTACTGCCTCTCCTTCCAAATTACCCATGTTACCACCAATAGTATGGTGGTCCATAGAACATTACTCCTTTTGCTCATGCCCTTCAATTTACACCCCTCCAAGTTTTCCCCCACATTTCTTGGATATCACCAGGAACAAGTAGCTAAATCGCAGAAGTAGTTATAAATACTTCTCACAAAACAGCACCTTATAAATGGATGATACACTGTTTCCCTTTCCTGGCAACAAAAGACACTCTAATGTTTACCTGCACATACCCCCCATAGTCAAACCATCCATTATGAGGCATTTCCCCAATGTAGCAATGCAGACTAGGAGCAGTACCTTTATGGGGCCATTGGGGAACCAAATTTCCTTCCATGGGAAATCATTAACCATTGGGTCAACCAGTCTTCTGTTCAGGGGCAGGGACGCAGGCCTGCAGCTGTTGAAAGAGCCTAGCCAAGTCTTCCTTTCCCCACTCATTAAGTTGTCTCCCAAAATTTGGATACCACACCACAGGCCATTCATTCTGGTCAGTTACCACAGCAGCTGTTTTAGGAATAACATTGGAAACTATCCATCAAAATCCTGGCAAGGTTTTGTCAGAACCTACACTTGATGTGAAAATTGATAACATCAGATTGTGTACACCCCCCCTCCATTTTAGTTGTTAGATTTTAGGCTACCACCAATATTCAAATACTTGACAAGTTGGTTTAACATCTCCACAATTCTTGTTAAAGGTGTGGTGGTGTTCCCACTGTTAATTACTTATTTGCCATGATTAATATGAGATAAATTGTTAAAAATTACAAAAGTACCCTTCAAATACAAAAACAGGGAGAAGAAGCTCACAGTTGTGCAAACATTGAGTTTCCTATAATGCACTGTACCTATGATATCTAGGTACTTATACATGGTTTAAGTATCAGTATCCAAAGGATACAACAGGAAATGGGTATGGATTATGGTATAGATATGGCATGGAAACATTTTTTATTGATAACTAGTGATCTCATTAACATGTAATAAAAGAAATTAAAAGAGATTTGTCAAAAAAGGAATTCAATAATACATAGAAGACTTCAGAGACATTGAGATATACACTAATTACAAAAATAATAATAATAAATACAGTATACAGAGCCCCATATTGTCTTACCAAAAATCCGATGTCCATATCAATGTCTCATGATCTTGCTCCATTGAGTCTTACCATACATCCAATTTAAGTCTCTTAAACTGTTTAAAAACCAAAACCGAATCCCAAATGCATGGACTAATGCCTCTACATATTCCAGAAACAACCCAGATTTATTTCCAAATATTCTCTTATCTCTCCTACTAAATGTTCTTGATTCACAAGGTTACAGCCACGACACATTCTTGTTTGGCGGCTGATAAGTTGTTCAAGAACATATCCCATGCTGTTTTTTTTTTATCATTTGACTTCACTTGTGTAGCTGGCAGGGTGGGAGACAAATTTGATAGATAATAGACCCTCCCCAGATGTATTCACTGTAAACTAGTCTATATATGTACATGATATATCTCATTTTTTGAATGAAATACCTTCCCTTTTCTTTCAAAAAAGTTGTAGCAATTTAAACACATCCTCTATCTTGAAAAAGTATCGCAAGACTATCAACCAGTTTAACGCTTTTTGTTTAGCAATATAGAAAAGGAAAGAGTAAAATGTTGAGTTGTTTTTAGCCATAATAGATAACGGATTCTCTAGCAGAAATCTACAATCTACTGCACCATCTCATGGTGGGCTACAGCTTAGGATTTGGGCAGGATACAACTTTCTCCTAAGTTGTCGTCAGTTGAAGCCTTGGGTCCTTAGGACTTAATCAGATAAGTAAAATCTTTCTTGTAGTTTTCAATTATTTATTCAGAAGGATCCCAAGGGTGGAAAATTAATTAGTAGACAGTTGTATTCATCAAAGAAACCAAATCTTTGGAATGCTTGCTACAAAAGGGGTTAACAGGCAAGCATTTTTAGAAATTCTTTTAATTCAACAAGATCAGTTTATTTGGAATTCAAAAAGATTGTCTACTGAAGGCACTGACTTGTGTGCCTTCAACAATAATATAGGGGGCACATGAAATCTGCCTCCAAGATTAAAAAGAAAACAAATTTCTTAATCCATAAGGGAATAGAAATTGCATTTAATAGAAGAGATAAGAAATGGTTGCTCTTGATGTTGTTTAACTTTAATCAAGCAAGTTGCCATCTTGTTCATCAAGGCTAAACAGGTAAGTTCTAATTTCTTCAAGAAAGAACTACAAGAGGCACCAAACTGCAAGGAGGAACAGGATGTGCACTGTCATTCCCACTTGGATGGCCACAAGACGACGACGATGGCAATGACAAGAATGGCACAATAAAAGCATTAAGTTAAGGAAGTGAACAAGAAAATGTATACGGGAGTCTTGCTTACATCCTAACTGGAAGGTTTCTTGCATTTTGTCAACAAAAGGTACAGACAGGGCCAAGTTATTGTAAAAAWTTTATCATCAGTGTTTTAAAAGTGCAAAGGCCATTTTGTGCCCAAGGCACAAGGCGAGGCATGCACCTTTTTGAAGAAAGGCACAAAATTAAAAAAAAAATCAAAAAATTGCAAAAAAAAATGTAAAAAATCTAAATAAATAAAGAAAATATTAAAAAAGGATTAATTAAAATTTTCAAATTTTGATTTTAAACTAAATGTATTTAAAAGAGCCTATTAGATAAAATTTAGGCCATGTTTGGGAGTGCTTATTTGGGCCATTGAGCACTCATTGGTATTTGGGAAATAAGCCCGAAATAAGTGCTTATTTTAAAAATAAGGGCTTATTTTTTAAGCCCAAATTTCCAACTTTTTAAGTGCTTATCAAGGTTCAAAATATTGATACAGGCCGATATGCAAATAGGGCATATCGGCCTGTATAGGTGCCTGTTTCTCTTTTTTTTTCGAATCTGGTTGAGGGGGTCGGTTTAAGTGTTTATCCCCTAAACCACTGCCTGACCCAAAACACCCCTTGTAGGGGCATATCGGGAAGGCCCCAATATGATACATATTGGCTAATACGGCCAAATAAATATCGAAATTCTGAACCTGGGTGCTTCTACAATAAGCACTTATTCAATTTTTTTCTTCCAAAATTATCCCTAGTTGAATTTTAAAATACCACTTATAAAATTATCCCTAGTTGAACTTTATAACGAAAGCACTTTTATAAAAAAATACTTTTATGAAGGCACTTTTATAAAAATACTTTTATGAAAGCACTTTTAAGAAAATACTTTTATGAAGTGTTATAAAAAAAGCACTTATATGAAATTACTTTTACGAAAGCACTTTATAAAAGTGCTTTTACAAAAATACTTTCATAAAAGTGATTTCATAAGGGTACTTTCTTAAAAGTACTTTTTTAAAAGTGCTTTCACAAAAGTATTTTTATAAAAGTTCTTTCAAAGGGTATATTTCGAAAATTTGGAAGAAAATGAAGGACAAAATAGTCACAAATGCTTATTTAAGTGCTTATTAGAGAAAAAGACTATCAAACACCCAAAATAAAATAAGTGCTTATTTTAAAAAATAAGCACTTGAAAAAGTTGGGTGCCAAATGCAAATAAGTGCTTATTCGAATAAGCACTTGTTTTTAAGCACTTATTTTTAACTTAAGCACTCCCAAACATGGCCTTAAATACATAAACATAACATATAAAACATATTCAAAGTGAAAATGCAAAAATAAAACAAAAAATAGCATACAAAACATATTCTAGCATGTCAAACTTTTAATTTCTTTATTTCTTTCTCAATTGCATTATTTTAAATAGTTAATGTGACGTTACATCTTTCATTCCTAATTCTACAAGTCACCTTTGTACCAAGCCCCTTGAGGCAAGTCCAAACAAGTCCATGTTAGGGTCTCAATCCCTAAAAAAAATGAGTTTACAATTTTAAATAAAAGATAATTAAAATTATAAAGGCTTGGTCAGGAGTCCAAGGCAGAACACCTGGCCCAGCCACCATGCTTAAAAAACACCAAAAAGCGTAAAAAAAAAAAAAAAGTGCACATCTGGGCTGAGGTGCAAGGTGGACCAGGCGAGTGCCTTTTGAAAGTGGTGTGCTTTGGACCTAGGCGAGGCGCATAGCTTAAAATGTGTGTAGCCTGTGTGCCTAGGCACGCCTCAGATGTATCTTTAAAATCATTATTTATTATTAGTTCTACAAATGAACCAAAACCAAGGAACTGTGTTCTTAGTTGTTATCTAGAAAACATGGCTTCGAATTCTCATGCTGCACACTCCACTCTTGCAGAACCTCCTCTGGATAATACTCCAGCTAAAGTCCAGTCATGTTTGCTACTGCATACCTAAAAATAGATGTGAAGTATACTTGACTAATTTCTCTCATAGCACAGTATGTACATAAAACCTGTCCAAACAATTAGAGAAAGACAAAGAAGCATGACAAGTAATTATAATTGCTCATCCTCCTGCCGCTAATTGCTATACAACATCATTCCCCTAAACCACCTTTTTCCCCATCATCTAAATATCAAATAACTAGTGAGTTTGCCAAACAAAGGCTAGAGCATGGGTTCATCTTTCTTCTAATGTAATAATAAAAAATTGAAATAAACTTTCTTATTAAAGAAAGTACATATAAATAAATACAATCACCTCGCAAATTCGGCAAGAGGGGCAGGTCCATGAACTCCAATGAAATAAATCTGTAATACATGCAATATAAACATATCATCAGAAAATGCTAGAACTATCCAGACATAATTTATCTGGAAAGATTTGAGACAGTTAAGGCACCTCTATGTTGGGCCCAACTCTTCAGGCAATTTCTATGATATTTTTTGTTGCAAATTTTGCACGGAAGCATCTTTGTTGCTCTCTCACTTCCTTCATTTTCACCTTGAAAACATAACCGACACATCACTTTGGTATTAGAGGAATTCTGATTTTCTCCATCAAGATTCCAAGCATTTTCTTTAGATGCATCCTGAAATTGAAAAGAAAAACAAATAAATATTATTTTGGTAGAGAGAGGAAATCTGCATTAACTATATAAAAATAAAAAAGTATTGAACCTAAAAGCTCCATATGCAACATACACGCAAAAGATGCCTGCACAACAAAAGAAGAATAAAAATGTATTGCTTCCTAGTCTCCCACTGATTCATGAAGTCATTTGCATTGAAACCATGACACTCCTCCAAAATAGATGGCATCAAACCATTTTCTTTCAATAATCTTTCCAATATTTGCATCCAGGGAGGATCTCTTCTATTTGAAAAGTATCCTAATCCACTCCTTCCAATAAATAGAAATGCGTAACTTTTTTGAAGGAATCCTGTCTCCTTGCAAAAGCCTTTGAAAGATTATGATAATAGAACATCCTATAAGACTTGTGGAACCTATTCCCTCTTAAATATTTCTAGCACAGAAACAACCAAATAAAGCGTAATTGTTCTGCAAAGCATCTAGGATGAACTGAATGGTATATCCACATAAAGCATAATGTGGTGGGAAAAAAAATCATCGACTCAACCATTTTTGAGCTCAAACAAAATCAAGGCAATTTACAGTATCCATATGGCAAAAAGAAATACAAAATCTGCCTTCTATTCCCTGAAATATTGTCCTTACAGTTACTTCCTTTTGAATGATAATCCACCAAACTATAATTGTTCTTCCATCAACTAATACACCCACAAATGGTTTTGATATTGTCAAAACAGATTTAATAAGCATCAAGCAGCACCTTTTGAGAAGAATAAATAACAAACCAATTACTTAAAATGCAAGAGTAGAGAAAATTTGGAAAAATATATTTGCAACATCACTTGTGAAAAACAAACCAAGCATCAATCAACTCCTTTTCATGCCAGTGCTGTAGATGGTCTTCTCTGCATATTACCAAGCCATCCTAGTCTACTTTCCCTCATTTTACCACCTAATAGAGCTACTCCCAAGTTCGGTTTTTTTTTTTGATGAAGTTCCAAACAAGTTCATTTCTGATACTTATCCTTTCTAGTTTCCCACCCATCCAACTTAGCATTCGCATTTCTGCTAAACTCATTTCTAGGATATGTAATTTCTTGGCTGCTTAACACTCAGCTTCATAGAGCATTTGATGTAGAGGGAACAGCATTCAAGTATGAATAGACATGTGGCAAGTCTAAAAAGATCAAGGAAAAGGAAGAAACCGGGTTTTTGATTTCACTAGGTAATTGTTTTTCAATTCTATTAGGCATAAAACATAGTTAGTTTAGTGACTCTTGTACATTTTTTCAAGCCATGGAGGTACTCTTGTACTTTTACTTTAAGTTACCATTGCCCTACCCCCTACCCAGCAAATAATGAGATTAGATCTGAATATTTTTCTTCACCCAGAAAACATGCAGCAGCTTGCTTGCTTGACTTCTATCTTTTCTGATTCAATTTTCCACTTTAGTTTTGGAAATTTTAAAAGGCCATTGCCCAGTGTTGGTTCCATTATCTGGGGTCATGGGAGGGGTAGACTGGATGCAGTCCTAAATCCTAACCTTTGGCATTTTTTGCGCAAATGGTTGCTCTCTGACTCAAACCCAGCATGAGAGTTTTGGTAATTTCTACTGAAAAATCATTGAAATAGATCAGTTATCCTGTCATTTACATAGTATTGCTGGCCTTACGACCATTTTATAAAATTTCTTTTTAGTCAAGTGGTATTCTCCTATCACATAGGACTGCAAATGCACTCATCCATTTTGCTCATCATGCTCTAGTTCTATTGGTGGCACCATTCTCAATCTCTCCCTTGTCGTGGATTATCAAACCAATGTAATGAAACATGTCACTGTGAATTATCTACTTGTCTCCAATCCTAAGTTTCTCTTATTATTAAATTTGCATTTAACATATTTTTTAGTTCTACTTATTTGAAACCTATTGTTTTAGGGCATTTGCCCATAAACCAAATTCTGCATTTAATCCCCTTTTAGTCCCATCAATTAATATTATGTCATCAACAAACAACATGCACCACAAGACATGGTAAGTTTGTTTAATAAATTCATCCATCATATGTTTTCTCTAGATTAATGAATGCCACATAAAGATCTCTCTTCCGCCCTTCAATTGTATCAATAAAAAAATGGCTAATATTCCTGACATAAAAATTTTCTGATATACTTGTTTCCTGCAGAATCTCTGCTGAATTACTCCCTCTCAGAGTTTAATATGTAGCTCATGGGTTTAATCCTACTATAAATTAGGTGCACAACAGACAATCACTACGGCAAGAAAATGAGAAATTATATAAAACATCCAGTATAGCATCACTGAAAACATAAACGAAGTGAAATGCGGATAAAAGTAAAACATCCATAGCATGCCATGACCACCAATTTAACAATTTGAAGAAACTCACCGCCAAATTTCCAGTTTCAAACCTCCGGGCATAGTCCTCAGCAGCCAATGACGCTGCAACTGCCCTCTTCTGCAGCGCGGCCCGCTTGTTTTGCGCCGACAAGATTTCCTCCCCATCTCCATCTCCACCTCCAAGCCCATCAGCCACCGAAGTTACCGCTACGGTCGGTACAATAATCCGAGGGACCACTACCTGAACGGTGCCCTTCTCTCTAGCCCTAAGCGACCACGGATCGCGCAAGAAATCCTCAACCCTAAAAACCTCTTCCAAGAAATCCTTCCGGCCCTTCTCACTCTGAAGCTTCTGAGGAAACCCAAGCGTGCAGAAACAGATTTTTCGGCTGCAATCGACAGAACAAGTAATTCCGTGATCAAGAGAGAGAGAGAGAGAGAGAGAGAGGTCTGCTAAATTTAGAGAGATTCTAAGTGAAATGAACCGAACCATGTAATTGGGCAAGCGACGTGAAAGGCCATGAGATTTGAAGTATGTTCTTTTAGGCGCGGGCTCTCCTGTAATCAAATTGTTTCAGCAAAAAAAATGAAAAATAAAAATAAAAAAATAAAAATAAAAATAAATAGAAGAAGCTACACTTCCACTCTAAAATGAGCGGAATACTCCTTCTGACTCACCCGGTGGACGTTAGTTGTTCGTGTAGGTTAAAAGACGATTGTCACGATTCTATGGTAAAGCCTAGTCCCACGAACATCATTACTCCAGGCTTTATTGATACCGTTTCTAAGGCTTAGAAGTTAAAACGTGGAAAAGAGCTCGATAGTCAGGAATCTAAACGATCCATGGTCTCTTCGCTTCGGTATGTCCTCTACCACGTTGGAGGACATGCCTCCTACCACTTTCCTCATTTTTTTTTTAAGATTTCAACCCTAAACTAGTTGGGGCTTTGTTAAAGTTAATTGTAACAAGTGTTGTAACATTTACAATTGAGTAAACTGAGATTTAGTTATGTATTCTCGGATAAATTAGTGCTAAAATTATTTTTTTGTTAATCCAAAATTAAAAACTTTCTTACATTATATTATTCATATAAATAATATAAATATGTGTGGGCTATGCAGGGCTTGGGCTAGGCATAGAGTGTTGGGCCCAAGCCTAGCCTTGAAGTCTGTTGTACTAACATGGGGTCGGGCAAGATTTAGGCTGAAAATGTCACCCTTAAAGTTTAGTGAGCTTGAAATAAAGAAATATTGATTTTAAAAGGGTAAATTTTTTAAAGTAAACATATGGTTTAGTTAATTGACTAACTCAACCTCTACTGTTTGACTATTGTCTTAAAGTACCCCTATTGTTTTGGACAATTGACTAACACCTCCCTCACCATCAAGTCTTGTCAGGAGCCATTCACATGTGACATCACGTGGTTGATTATTCATCATATAATATCAAAACTACCCTTCGATGGTAAAAAATGCCCTTTATGGTTTAAACTAGGGTGCCATTAGAGTACAGGTTTAGAGCTTAGGTTTTGCCAGACGAACCAGGTTTAGAATACAGGTTCTGCCATAGCCAGAGCCACAGGTTCTACCATACCAGACAAACCTGAAGTAGTGGTTGTCAACCGATCGAATAAATTTGAAGGAGGAAGAAAGGAGGGGAGGAAGAAGAAGGAGGAAGGAGGAAGGAGGAAGGAGGAAGGAGGGGGGGAAGAGGAAGGAAGAAAGGAAGAAGGGAAGAAGGAAGAAAGAAGGAAGAAAGAAGGAAGGGGAGGGGGCTGAATAGGTAATGCGTGATGACCACCTCCCAAAGATGCTCCATGACCATCTCCCACCTCTCACATGCACACCCACACTGCCCAAACCGCCACTGTCTGTAGTCGTTGCACGCCCACCACACCCCCTGCACACTTAGCACCTTTAAAACAATGTTTTAACGCCATTACAATACAAATAGTTCACTAGTCGCCTTTAAATTTTGTAAAATAGGGCAAAACAATGCTTTTTCCCATAAAAATTAAAAAAAGAAAAAGAAAAAGAAGAAGAGGAAGGAGGGAGAAAGGAAATTTCTATCGCTACTGGTTCAAGTTGTAGCGGCGGTTGTGCATCCTCGGAATAGTAGCAGCAATTGATGTGAATCAGATTTCTGGAATTCTTTGGCTTGGGCTTGGACTTGAGCAGCGATGAGAGCGAAGAAAAAAGAAAAAGTAAAAAAGAAAGGAGGGAGAACGGAAGTTGTTATAGCCGTTGGTTCGAGTTGCAGCAGTGGCGACGACGGTTGTGCATCCTCGGAACAGTAGTGGTCATGGTGGAGAAGGAGGAGAGTCTGGCGACAAGAACAAGATGGAGGCAATTTTGGCACTAGAAAAGATTGGGAGGTCTTTGGATAATATTCCATTGGATCTGGTTTGAGTTGCAGCAGCAGCGGCGATTGCACATCCTTGGAACAGTAGTGGCGGTGGATGTGAATTAGATTTCCAACGTTCTTCTGCTTGGGCTTGGACTTGAGTGACGATGAGAGTGAAGAAGGGAGTTTCAACGGCAACCCACGCAATCGATGGTGTTCATTCTCAGATTCAGACTGAGTTCTCTACTCAATATGCTATTAAAGTGATGAACAAAAACGTAATTTCCAAGTTGGCGCATTTATTGAAATAGGGGCAAAAGTGATATTTCACCTTCCCTCGTTAGGATTTTACTAGGGGTGGAAAAGAGTCGAGATTTTCACAAGCTGCTCGAGCTCAGCTCATGAAAAGCTCGGCTCAGCTCGGTTTCAACCGAGCTCGAGCCCAATTCAGTGGCTCGATTATTATATAATATAATAAAAATATTATAATTATTAATTATTATAATTCTTAATTTTTAAAATATAAAATAAAATATATATATATATAATTTATATTTTTATAAAATATTTTTTCTAAATATTTTTATAAAATATAAAATGAGCCGAGCTGAGCCGAGCTCGAGCTCAAGTTTCTAGCTCGAACCGAGTTTGAGCTTGAGCTTGATCCTTGTAGAATAGTCTCGAGTCAGAGCTCGAGCCGGGTACTATTTGGCTCGGCTCGGCTCGAATCCACCCCTAGATTTAACGATGCGGATAATTGTCCAAAACAATAGAGATACTTTAAGACAATAATCAAACAGTAGGGGTGGAGTTAGTCAATTAGTTAAACCATAAGGGTACTTAAAGAAATTTAGCCTTTTAAAAATAACCATTTTGTTTAATTTTAAGTTTGCTAATTTTATGTTGTGTTATCAATTAGTTAAAATTAATTAGGTTATTAAGTTTAATCAATTAAATAGCTACTTATATAATTTATTTATAAATAAAATAATTATCATTTTATGCTTTATAAACAAGATAGTTAATAAATACAACCTATTAATAATACTTGAGTATACATGAGTAATAAATTATCTTTATTAAATTATATTTATATCATAAAAAAGTAATTATTAGTACCTCTAGTACAACTTGTACAACCTTGGGACTTTCTTTTTGGAAGGGGGCTTTTATTGTTTAGTGCACCCCCATAAACTTTGGTACAATTTGTATAGTTGGAACATTGATAAGTGGGAGAATAAATTAAAATTCAAGAGAGGTAGTGAATCTTAGGTGGAAGTGTTGGTAAATAAAACCCCAAAAACTAATAAAAGTCCATGAAGTGGACTGAACTCTAAATTTCCCTTTTTGAAAAATTAACACCCATATGTCATATAGCTTGTGAACTCAAAAAATAGACCTCCTAAGGTTGCAAAGTGTAAATAATTATCCATTTAACACAATCATTACATAAAAGATTTATAAAAAATATGTCACTTAATWCCTGCATTATTCTCCATTATTTTATATATTTTAAAGACTAATTGGAAGTTTTTCTTGCAACACACAAAAATCTCCTTGGCTATTCTCATTCCTTGTTTCATGAAAATCTCCCTTGTATCATAAACAAATTATGTAGAATTATGTAAAATAAAAAAAAATAAATAGGAGAAAATAGATTCACGCCGCATTAGACTATTCCATTTTAATATATAGATATAGATTCATGAACCCCAAACCTTAATATATCTAAACCTTTATAACCTAAACTCTAATTTTAAATCTAAAATTGATGGAGGACGGTTTGACCCGAACTATGAAACGATGACACGTGGACACTGACTCAGCGCGAGCAACAACTCAGCATTATAGCCTAGTGACGAGCCCATAAAGCAGCTCGTTGTATCGTAGCCCACAACAGGAGAAGCTCGCCACGACGCGAGCTCCGAGTTCCCCGAGCTCCCTTTGAAGGAATACCTCGAGGCAACTTTATCTCGCGAATAAGCCGCCTAGCCTACACCCCCTTCCCAGGGCTAAGGCACCCCGAGCTGCCTTCGAGCTGGGGGTCCCCTGACCTTTCCTAATACCCGAGCTCCTCCCAATGGACCTCGGGTCACTCCCAGACAGGAACACACCGATCCGCCTATAAACACTCGAGGTGAAGACACCTCGGGCCAGACAGCTCGACTTAGCTTGCCACAGGCAGCTCGTCGCTTACGAGATGCCCAACACATGGTAACTCGCGAAAGGGTAGTCCGGCATATCGCAGGAAGATCTCCTGCCTGACCACCGTACCCGACAAATCTGGTGACAGCAGCCATGTCCCTCGTCAGGCAGCATCGTGCCTGCCACCTTTAGAAGGTGTCGTACACCTGACAGGCACGTACCTAGCAGCGACGGCCCCGTGCGTGCCACCTCAGCCCTGCCAATAACGGCTACGGCAGGTTGACAGTGGCGGTTATACCCACCCTGTCAGAAGCCAAGGGGCCAGGGGCAACCGATTTCTGCTATAAGGAGTTTAGTACCAAGGAGAACAGGTATGATCTGGATTATCTTCATCTTCTATACTCGTGCTATCTACACTCTTAGCCTTCATCTTCTCCTTGCTTCTCTTACCGAGTACTAACTTAATCATCAGAGTGTTCCCGCCGGGTAACTCCCCCTGGGATTCTTCTTCTTCTCAGGTATCTTCCAGGAGCCACGTGAGTGCCAGATAGGAGTGACCGGATCGCGCTACATCAAAAACCTTAAAATTTAAACTCTAAACTCTAAACTCCAAAACATTAAACCCTAAATCCTAAAACTAGTGTGTAAAATGACTATGATAGTAGCAAAGTATTTCCCATCAAAACTTTATGAACCAATCACAATTCACAACCCCACAATGCCCTTTCCCCCTGAATCCAAATTCGAATGCCCAACATTACAATATGGATGTTAGACTGACACGTGGATCCAACATGTAAATGGAGCTATTGTGATACCATGATGTACACAACATTATAAGTAAAATTGTAGACCATTTGAACTTATTCTACACAAAGACTTGACCCCTCCTTAAATGACGAATTTTATGATTTGAATGGGCAAATTGTTCGACTAAGTGGTTAAACCATGACCCAATGAGCATTCTCGTCCAAGACAATAGATTTATGTATTTTGTAATATTTTTATGCAATATGTGTTTTTAAGGCCTAAAATTTGTTTAATAAGAATAAAAAAGTGAGGTCAATACATACAAGAGGCAGGCAAAGTTGATAATGCTAAGGTGCATCATATAGTGAACACATGGCCAATTTTGTTCCTTTCACCATAAGGTGATACTTATCTAGGGAGTTTGGGTTT